TATCAAAAGTCAACTATCCAGATAAAATAGAAACAACCTCGTCGTTAAGTGATTTAAGCCAATTGATCAACACGTATATGCGTGGACTTCTACCATAGTTCTAATCTCATTTCATGAAAATTCATTTTTGGGAAGAAAAACTGAAAAATCACCTTAATCTGACCTATATGATATGATTGATAGAAGTTGACTATTAAGTATAATTCAGAGAGAAAATTAATTGATAAATAATTAATAAGTATTGTCATATAATTTAATAGTTGAACTCATGAGTCATTTGAAGCTAGATCACCATGGAAAACCTGGAAGCACTGAACGGTAGTTTCGTCCCACCGTGGGACTCCTCACAGTACGCATCCACGATTCCGCCTCTCGAGATTCGAGCCCGGGACCTGTCAGTCATGCGCAAGAGCGCTTAACCTCTAGACCACTGAGCTGGACGGCATCCAGCGGTGTTAATATCTAAGTTCAACCAATCCACGAAGTTGTGCCACCGTCCACCATTGTCTTTAGTGAGCTACTATCTCAAAACAGACCAAGTTGAAATCCACTGACCACGGCTTCCTACTAGAATTTTCAGGAAATAGCTCTTGGAGAATGAGGTTAACTTTGGTTAAGCCAATAGAAAATAGTACAAGTTGACAGATGTAACAAAAGGAACTATTTAGGTGATTCGGCATAGAGAAATCTACAGTTACGCATAACTAAATACAGTGAGACTAATAGTCAGGAAATATATTAACTATCACCGTGAACCTACTCAACGGATATTGTAACGCTAAATAATAAACTGGTGGAAGCATATTGTGTGCTGTGATTTTCTGCTTGTTACAAAACTTTCCGTCATCACACACTTGGAACAAAGAAATAGTTCATGAGGTGTTGAACGTCGTCAAATTAACATTTATTTCAGGGCTTAAAAAGATCATACTACAATTAGCAAAAGATTTGAGTGTATTTAACTGTTAGAGTATTGATCGGATTTGTATAGTGATGTAGTATCTGATAAACTCATCTTTCATCGCAGTAGGTAATCAAACAATTATTAGATCTAGTATTGTGACTGGACATCAACCTATCAGTAAGTGTGACGTAAGGCTTAGTGATTGAATCAAGTTCAAAAATATTGTGAAAGTTATTTTAGCTACTGTCAAATGAAACTGATGTATTTTGGCCTCATCTAGCAAGTCAACGTTGAAACAACAGAATTACGTATATACACAAGCATATATTTGAAAACTTTATTGGAAGTGATTTTAACAACGTTAACAAGTAATCTTTTTTGTATCACTGAGATCACGAATCGATCAAAGACAGATCATCATTGAAAACATGGAAGCACTAGACACCCGTGATAGGGGACTCCTCAGCTGAACGCATCCTGAGTGCGAAGTCATAGATGACTACTGAGGAATCCCACAATAAGACAAAACGGGCGTCCCGTACTCCCAGGTTTTTGAAGGTGGTTTAGCATTATTCAGTTCATGATTTCAATGAAATGCGACAATTTCCACAGTCCCTTACTGACAATCATTTTATAAATATCGATAAATAATGACAACCTAATATGTGCGGTGTATATTTCCTGTTTTGTTCCTTTATCCTAAATGGTATCTTCTCCAAATCAAAAAAAGAATCAAGGGACGTTAAAAACAAGACTCAAATCTTAGAAGTCCAGTAGAGTATAGATGAATCAATTGATTTCATGACATATTATTGAATTAACAGAGGAAAAATGTAAATAAGTCAAATATGAAGTGTCAAACAAACTATTTGGTAGAAAATATTTCGGTTAGTCATGCACATGTGATAGAACTATTTTTACAGTTACGTTTGTTTTGGAATATTCATGATATCTCGGTGCCACAAATACAACTAATTACCAATATGTTTCGGAGAAAAGTCTGTTTACATTTTGATATTGAGTGCTCAGGGTTAATCGTCAGCGAACCCTGAACCTAGGTTTTGTGTTAATTGGGATACATCAGTAAGGTGTGCCTGCAATCTTCACGGGACTGGTGCTCCTAATGCGATCCAAAAGCTGGTCCTGGACTAGAAGAATATGATATTAGCCGATACTCAGTGGTCAATCACCAATGTAAATATCGCAACCCTACAAAATTTAATTCGCGATCCGAACGGCTCAGTGGTAGTTTCAGATAATAAAACTAGGTGATCTGGGTTGTTATCCAACAAGAAGCATCGATTCCATCAGGATTACAGGTACACATTGTCGATCAATGCCAAATACCCTTAACCACCCAGTTTCAAAACACATTATTAAATCACTTGGACTATGGTCACATTGCAACTTAGTCGATAAAGTCCGATCTGCACTAAGGACTAAACAAACATGATATTGGCCACCACTCAGTGACCAATCTAAGGATGTACATAGTTTGAAGGTGGTTAAGTTTCCAAAATGATGTTAACTCAAGAAAAATATGGATCTATTGTAAGACAATTTAGCGATACACACACAACTTCAGTGAAAAATTAGTCTACAAAACAGCATTTCCTTGAAAAGGAACATTTTGACACTTTTGTAGAGATATATAATAAGAGAAATCAGTAAAACCAAGCATTGAGCTGCAATGTCATGAATTAATTGAAGTTAGACATGCAAATCAATAGTCTGAAAGTTAAGCATTCGTTGTGAGAATGAATGCTCCGGGTTCAATCTCTGGTAGGATGATGAATATATTGTTAAGGAGTCTTATAGTATTATGAAACAATTGATCAATCCTTCCTGATTTTCAATGGATTTCTAATTTAGATCAATTTATATATAATATTAATAACATGCGACAATCTCATGAGCAGATGAAGAAAAAATACACCTACTTATACATGAATTACAAAACTCTCAATTATACTTCAAAAGAGGAATTATTTCAACCAGTCTATAAATAACTAATACTAACACCCTCCTGATTATCATCAATAAGCATAGCAACACACAACAATATACCATTACAACTCTTTAAAAAAAATTGTATACATATATATTCTACAGCATAGGGGTATTATAAACAGAAATATAAAGAACATTTATGGATAGTTTATTCTGTATATTTTTTCTTTTTTAAAAAAAAGGTGCAATAATATTGAAGCATGTTATACAAAATGTAAAATAGTTAAATAAATAAGCTAATATAACATCCAAGTATCATCGCATACGCATAAATCAGATTAATTCGATATATATAAGATGTATCTTAACAAGTATGTAATGGTTAGTATACATTTTGACTGATAGGTTAATGGTGTAACCCAATTACTAGCTTGATTCAACAGTGAACAAATGTGTTAAGTATTAAGAAGGGATTCTTCGTCAGTACTACTACTAATAATAATAATAGTAATGTTAGCGCTTGAGTCGAAACCATATGTATGTAAACATACCTTGTAGTAATGAAATAGAGATAAACCAAGAAAAATAATCGAAAACAACAACTGAAGGTATAGACATATGACATGATAAGAATTTACAACATGTAGGTTGGTTGATATGATATTGTGTGTATGTGTGTGGTGGATATACCAATATCCACACACAAGCATACACACACACCATCACTATGAGATAAAACGTCTATTATCAATACAGTTAGTATATTCAGGAAAAATAAATACATCAGAAGAGTTAAACAACTTTATAAAATGGTGTAATGATACAATATTTGTTGGTTGTGATAAGAATGAGAATATATAAAAATGTTTGTGTATGTAGGGCATCGAAGCAAGGATGATAATTGTATTCATTAAGAAAAACAGTAAACAAGGAAGATGACAACAAAAATAACAAAAAGAAAGGAGCTGATAGGATAAAAATTAAGACAGATTTGTTTATGTGTACACTAGGTGACGAGTCAGTGAATTACAAAACAAACCACAAATATGATAGTCAACTGCGAGAAGTGATGATGATGATAAGGAGAGGATAACCGTACGATCTGATAAGATAAATAAGTTTCTTTTTCTCAAATAAAAGGATCAAATGAGGAATTACCCCATTCACAAGTAATACGATTGGCCCAGAGCCGCCACCACCACCCCATATAGAAGTCACGGAAAGACAAATGGTGAAATAATACGAGTTGATGAATGTTTATATCGAAAAATTAAAACAAACAAACTGTAAAAGAAGTGGCTATGTATAACATATATATGTATCAGTGTATACACAGCTGTTCAAAACGAACACAAAGAGCTACAATGATAATAGAGAATAAACAATAGAATCGAAAAATAAGGATACAAAATCAAACACGACAAAAAGGAATAATACGTGTTCAATAGAATTGATAACTGTTTTTTGTATACACACAAAATACATCCGCGTAAAAGAATCTTTTATAGAATGAATATAGATTGTTTGGTAATGTGATTTTTCACAATAGGGAACGGATTGAACAGAACAATAGTATAAATACAACATAACCGTTTAATTAAGGCACAATTTTCACACAACGGTATTTTTTGTTTATTACACCAAGATGAATTCGGTTAGGAAAAATTATCATTATTATTATTATTAGGATAAAAAGTTTTTAGGTCAAATTGATGAAGTCCCTTATTTTTTTTGTTGAAAAACAATTCAAATAAACAAAACGATAAAAGATAAAATGACAACATAATCGACCAACAGAAAAACGTAAAAACAAACAAACACACGTGAACATGCATGAAATACAACAGGCAAGAAAGATAAATACATATCTGTTGGACGAAATGAAAAAGAAAGATGTAATTTATTATGGGAACACAGCAGCAAAGAGAGGGGTAGGATGAAGGAATTATGCAAGTGTATTATTTAAAGGACATTTTTCACATAACAGTAGTCTCTGGAATATATATATATATATGGTGGAATGTTTACAAATTTTACTAAATCGAATCAGTGGTAAACAACACATTTGACTAAATGAATAAACAATCAAATAAACAGCTTGTAGGATATATGAAACATCTGATAGATATATAGGCGATAGAGGATTTCAATCTGGTTCACGAAATTGACTGACTTCTTGAAAAATCATTTTTTTCAATTGTCTAACAGGTAAATTATCTAATTCTTCTTCAAAACTGAATGGTTTTTTAGCAACAGGCTAAAGTGAAGAGATAGAGAAAAATTTCAACAAAGAATTCCAAAATGAACAGAAAATGTCGTTTAATCTTTAAAAAAATTATAACAAACAAATTTTTGTGTGAGATTAAGCATCGGTTTTTTTCAATGTTCAATAAGAAACAATATCTAGGTCGCCCCCGAAAGTCCTGGTATGGCCGAGAGTGGGGTGGGTTTGCCCTCCCTCTCGAAGTGCTCTCACATGGCCACGACTCGTTTGCAGCCTCTACCATGGAAGTCCTACTCACTGCCTTCTCGTGGCGGGGGTGTTGTTTACGAAAATGAGAGGATGAAAAGCGAATGTTCGGCGCTTTAACTGGATCACAAACCAATGGTGCACATGAGATCCAGTATCCTGAAGGAACAAATGGCGTATGAACCAATTGTTGGTCACCGGCTTCCATGGGACTGCATCTCCTTACTATGCTCCATTGTCTTGTGGATCAGACCTTCAGGTCGAAGGCTAAGGGAGTGGCCCCCTAAGAAAACCACCTGCTTCGGTTTGGGCACCCGGGAGTATCACAGCCCTCAAACATATCGAATGAGATTTGTGTGGCGCATATGTATTTGGTGCTTCCTCGTACTAATATCTATGTGTTAAAATAAATAAATAAATATCTAGGTTTCTTTTCCGTTCGTTTGTTAAGTTGAGTAATATACATAAGAGCATGATTTTCACTGGAAATTTCATTCACGCCAATCTATATTAGCCTTTTGTGAACAGATTACATTATGCATTTATCTGTAGTAATTACACACTAAATGAATAGAGAAATCTACGAAAATACTTGATATTGCACACATGTGGAGCATAGAAAGACAGCTGCACCAGCTGCACGGACACATAGCCTATCTCTTGATTTTTAAATGGACTCCTATAATTTAGGCACTGAAAAATTATAAATCCATTTCAAAAGTTTTTATTATGTCTTATACTGCTTAGTATTCTCCTTGTACGCAATATTTCATTCTATTGGTCTCAAATTAAAAAAGAAAGGATTCGAAGCAAACAGAAACACCTTCTTGGTCAGGGTCCGTGAAAACTCATCATCAAAGATTGGACTTGGGTGTCACAAACGAAGTTCAAGTCTCAGGGATGCAATTGCATTCGATCTCTCTCTGAAAACTCGATTTAAACTTAATTCCTAATTTTTCACTATTTGTGTACATTTCCTTCTCTTGAATTATATTTCCCATTGATTAGGTTATGTGTCATGATTATAATTCTTTATTACCTTTTAGATCTTGATAATTTCCTCTGTGGTGCTGATATGAGAGATGTAACAACTTGAACTGATACGCATTCAAACAATGATGATGGTGACTGGATTAGCAACAAGTTCGAATATTATTGCAGGGAAAGCCATAACAATGACTATGTTAAAAACAATTCTGATTTTAGATGTACAATCTAAAAAAGTGAGTTGTCAGATTGTTGGGATATTCAGGAAAATATCCCAGAAGTTATCCTATTTAGCCTAATGCTATTCTTGGACTTGGACATGGTATTATTTTCTTATTGGTCAATACTTATTAACGTGTCATTTTCCTACTGGCCAATATTGTATAATGTTATTTTCTATTTTATGGTATGATGTGGTTTGTTTGATTGGTATATAAACAGAGTATGTTTGAAATATAATGATTCATATATCCGAGGCTGTGACTTGCGTTCTGGACTCAACTGCTGGGCTAGATAGGGAAGCGGGACCAATCAGAACCCTAGGTCGTTCTACGTGTTTGTGCGTCTTTGGTCCGATCGATAAATCGCTCCCCTCTAATCAGCTGCTACTGTCTCACAGATATAACAATTGGCGACGGGGTGAAAAAAATACAATCCAAAGTCATTCTGTAATTGGACGAAATCCAGTCTAATTATTCAACCAATCAGCATCCAGATTGTCGTCACTGTCCTTCAACGACATTGGTCATTATTCACACAGTAATTCTCATCACAGGTGCTGATTCGAAAAAATGACTCTCCCTTCCGATCGATTACAGCTGCTCTTTGAACGACATTTGGAGTTATTGGTCAAATTCCGCACGCAGCTGCTAAATCAGTCACGCTATGAAGATGCGACGGAAGTGGACGGATTGATATCTGAGTTTCACAGTGAGCTGGAAAATGACAGCCTCCATGAATCCTCGATGAACTGTACTTCAAACGAAACAGTCGTCCATGATGCGCCCGGTGGTCCAGTACTTTCTATTCCAGAAACATGCCCGGTAATGGAGTCAAACTCCATCATCCCCGAAACAGCATGTACAGACAGTAGCATATCCAGCTCACGAAAAGGTTCTCTTGTTTTGCCAGAGAATGTGTCAAATGCATCAAACAATGGTCAGAAATCTAATACAATTTTGATAGATGCTGTTTATTTTGGTAACGTATTATCCACTAATGGAATTTCGAAGAGATCTGATGGGAATGTTTCACAAGAATCAAACTCTAATGACCTCATATCTACTGTCGCTGATCCTCAGCATCTAGTCAGCTCTAGTGGACTCTCTATTCAATGCGGGAAATATGCTTTAAATAGAGTCACACTAACTGTTACTTGGGTATACGAGGACCCAACATTATTCCGGGGGGGAGGATAGACGCGAAGAAATCCAAAATCCGGATATCAACTCCGGATCTCCAAAAAAAGGGGAGGTGTTGGGATATTCAGGAAAATATCCCAGAAGTTATCCTATTTAGCCTAATGCTATTCTTGGACTTGGACATGGTATTATTTTCTTATTGGTCAATACTTATTTAACGTGTCATTTTCCTACTGGCCAATATTGTATAATGTTATTTTCTATTTTATGGTATGATGTGGTTTGTTTGATTGGTATATAAACAGAGTATGTTTGAAATATAATGATTCATATATCCGAGGCTGTGACTTGCGTTCTGGACTCAACTGCTGGGCTAGATAGGGAAGCGGGACCAATCAGAACCCTAGGTCGTTCTACGTGTTTGTGCGTCTTTGGTCCGATCGATAATTCGCTACCCTTTAATCAGCTACTGTCTCACAGTTATAACACAGATAAAAAAAGCGTTGAAATTACTTATCATCAAACATGAAAATCAAATATTGTTTAGAGCAACCTATTAGATATGGCACGTAAGCTGAAAAGAAACCATGCCTTTATCAAGTGTCGACACATCTGATTATCACCGGGGTTTAGGGTTAAAAAAATAAGTGCCAAACAAAAGTTTGCGGACGACAACCTTTTACTTATAACACTAACGATCTTACCTCATCACTAGGATCATAGTAATGTTCAAAATAAGGATGAGCTAAGGCTTCTTCAACGGTGATACGTGTGGTTGGATTGAATGTTAATAAACGATCAAGCAGGTCGATTGCTGTGAATAAAAAACAAATAGAAGTCAAAAGAATGAGTTTTACAAACAAAAGAATCCAAAGTGATGATCAGTAAGTCAAACGCAAAGTAGAAACTGGCACATGTATGCACTGATTCAAGTCGCAATACCCAATGGCTCAGAGACGAAATTGTCGGATCAAATCCCAGTAGACGTAGTAACAGTATTAATGGTCACAGAACATATTAGGCTTAGAAGATACGATTTGACATGTAAATTAGAGAAATAAAAACAGATTATACGGGATTGAGAAACTTAGGATTTAAGGGAAGAAAAAAAGTGAATGTACCTGCGCCACCCAAAGCGATGCCACAAAAAAAATTGATTCATATAGAAAAGCTACAATAATTGTAGCCAGTTAAGTTAGAAAAAATTATTCAACTCGTAAGCTTAAGACACTTTTAATATATTCAGTTAATGACACTAGGTAAATGATAAGAGTTTGAAGAAAATTTGGGTTTTGAAAAGATTTGAACTGACGACATTTACATAAAACATTGAAGAATTGTATACGAATTGAACTACAATAGCAATATAATAGTACAATTTAGTAACCATCGACTTATTCGTGTACTATATACCACAGATATTGTGTAAACACAAAATAAATCAAGACTTTAAGGTGAGTATATGAAGTTACCTTTAGTAAATGAATTACAATAACAGTTTAAATAAAAACTGATAAATAATTTAGTGAAATTACTCCCTATACATTCTAGCAGATAGAGAAGGAAAAAGAATGTAAAATGGAGATAAAAGGATGAATGCCAAAAAGATATTTAATATATCTAATATCTGGACACTTGACTTTCTAACTACCTTTTAATCCTCCAGAAAACTTACATTGGAGCCCTGAGCAGAGGATAAAAGGCGAAAGAAGCATCAAAATAAGTTTTACTTTCAATATTAAGGAACAGAAAACAAGAGGACCTATATGTGTATTTGTGACATGAATAGCTTAGTATATGATATATAATGCATTGCTGTTTTTTAGGACTGCCAAGGAAGTTTCTATTGAATGCTGAATTAGACGAAATATTTTCAATCTTTTCCCAACTTTTGAAAACATTTTCAAATAATTTTTACGAATATACCGTAATATTAATACCTGTAAAGAGTTAAACACGATTATGACAATGAAGGAGTGGTTCGGGAGTTAGTAACATTTACGTTTTAACAAATCCATTGTATATTCGGTCTTCACTTATATACTTTGACTTGAGTTTTCGGATATTAGCACTAGACCTTAAATAATTAGTGTGGTTCGAAGGCGAATCTACACATATTTAGCTGATAAATAAGTTATATAAGCTTGATGAAGTCACGTTGTACGCTGATGCAACTTAATACATAAATCATACTATGAAATTCACAAGCATAATACATGCGAAATAAAGAGAATAAGATTCATTGATTGTTGTGATATAAGTACAATTAGTTAGTAACGTGTGATATATGCATATATAATACGTGACCTAAAATTTCACTGGTGTCCTGATCGTTTTTCCGTTGTAATATACTTATACAGTAAAATAGTTGAAATTGATAAAACGTCATATGTAAGACACATAGCATTAAATCAACCAATATAATAAAAAAAAATAAACCTTTCAAAATACTTCAGACTGTGTCGCATGAAATTATGACAATTTACATGACAATAATAATAAATGTGTGGCCGGATATGTTTAGCAAGAGTGTTTAGTAGGAGAAACATTTTTACACTTCGTCAATTTATATACATATATCCGTGGGCGTGTTTAATACACTAAGCGCTGTAACGGGGCGGATACTGAACAAAGTTGTACTTTTGGAACTGCCTGGTGTTTTGTTGTTCCATTCTAGTTATCGACCAAACAAACGGAACCATGGAAAATAAGCGTTAAGATTTATATCGGGTTTAATTCAACATCAATTGTGCCAGTTCAAGCTTACAACCAGACAAAGCTTAGGATGTTAGACTATAGATGAAATAATACATTTGGGGTATAGAAACACTACAAAATTCTTCTTGGTGAATCTTATTGAGTGATATTGATTAACGTAAACCTGATTTATCATGTTAAGATGGATCTCGAAGACATAGGTGATCATATGGTTGCATGAATATGAAGATTATAACAAAAAACTTACTTTTAGCATCCGCCGAAGGATAAATATCTTTCCATGATTTACGAGGATTATTTTTAAACTTCTCCACGAAGCTTCGAGCCTATGCAAAAAATTAAATTATTTAGAAAGAAAGAAGAATCAATAATTTAAGAGACAAACAAATATCTAGATAAGGGAGAGAAGCTACTGATAATAAGCATAGTTTATTTATTTTATTCATATTTATATAAATTGCTAAAATGATGTATTGGAAGACGAAACATCGGTAAATGTATTCAACAAAACTAAATAAAGTGAATAGGATAATACAAAACTGAGAAGTTTAGGGAAACATTAAGAATGTGTGAATCTGGTTCGTTACCACTGGTCTACAACTATGTCACTTAAGATCTCCGATAATACAGTAAGATAATATGACGAATTAAAAATCACGAAATCATCATTCCCCTACAACTCTTCAGGCAGTTGCTCATAATCAATGTAGAACCTGACACAATTGTATATACGTTCTATCAACCACATATTTAGCAGTTTTTAACCTTATCGACAACCAACCTTAAAGCTGGTCAGCACAGTGCTTCTGAATAGATTGACTAAGTATGTGTAACACGCATTCTAAAGATGTTAAATATATCAACCTTTATATCTATCAAACACGTATGTGTGTTTCTGTACTGAGATAACAAAACAGACAATAAAGAATATATATATCAATTGTTGAGATCATGAGTCAATTGAAGCGAGATCACAATGGAAAACCTGGGAGCACTAGACAGCCGTTCCATTATATTGTGGGACTCCTCAGCAGTGAAGCCAATCACTTCAAGGCGTATATTCTGGAGTTCTAGTGAGAAGCAGTGACCACTGGAGTTTAACCGAGTCAGTCGTGAAATAGTAAATTACTGATGACAATGATGGATGTGTCGATCGATTTCGTGAATTAGTTGATACCGGCTCAGTGGTCTAGTGATTAAGTGCTCGCACGCGAGACCAGTAGGTCCTGGGTTTGAATCTCGCGAGGCGGGGCCGTGGATGCGCACTGCTGAGGAGTCTCACGATGGGACGAAACGACCGTCCAGTGCTTCCAAGTTTTCCATGGCGGTCTAGCTTTAATTGACTCATGATTTCAACTACTGAAATTACTAAAATCTCAACAAAACCCCCTTTAAATAGATATATATTTGTTCTATAGTATGAAGTTATCATTTAATGACTGCAATGGAATAGTCACACAAAAAATTAAGCTATTCAGTTGAAAATATTGCTATAAAGTTGTCAACATCATAATAAAGAGTAGAGAAAGTAGTCTTTGGTGAGTGAAATTTAAATAATTAAATTATGAAACCAAAAAATCCTGTTATCTGCATCAAACAAAAGATACATAAATTATATCTAATATGATTGAATAAAGTTAAATCATATTAATAGATGATAACTTAGCTTTTATTTACATGACTAACCAGTAAGCATATGAGAGAAAAAACTGACCTTATCATTTACTATCCAAACTTGATCCTCACGGCTTGGTGATCCTAAAACCCCTAAGATAAGGGTTAGTTGTTCAACATCTGGTAGAAGTATAAGATAAGGAGTTTAACAATTTGAAGCGAAAGTTACTACATTCAAGTTTCAGTGTGAACATTAGCACAGGGATATGAGTTAAATCCAACTGATGAATCTCAAATAAAACAAAACGTGAGTTCCTGATCGCATTATTAGCTATAATTTGACTTTAATAAAAATATAATTTGAGTAGTTTGTAGGGACTGATTTAGCTTGACATCAAACTTTGTTGTGGACTGAAAACTGCATCAAGAACGAATCAAGTATCAAAATGACGATAGATGGTTATTGCGCTGAATTACGAATTGATTGAAGTTTAAAAAATGTAGATTACTGCATTCTGAACTGCTGATCATGGTAACTAAATTACATGCTCAAAAACTTTAGTCTTGATCCCGATAATTCGTGAAGGATAGTGGGTACGCAATGATGATATATCGTAAACCCAGATGGAATGCCTTTAGTTCAATAATCCCTAATTCCTAAGGGTTGTTTAGTTGACGCTAGTCCATAACGAAGACTACCTTTAAGTTATAAATGTAAATGGTAAAATATTTATTTTCTAATCAAGTGTAATTCTAAAATAATATATCTAATCACATGGCAATGGCTTGTTCATCTGCAAATACACAAATATATTATAATAATTATTTCATTTTAGTCCCATTATTATTGTCATAATTGAAAAAGTCTATATATATATATATATATATATATATATATATATATATATATATATATATATATATATATATATATATATATATATATATATATATATATATATATATATATATATATATATATATATATATATATATATATCACAATGTCATGAATAACGCAATTAGTGGAAGTCATAAGATAAGTAATTTCAGATACTAAACTATTCAAATTCCTCATAACTCTCTTCATATACCTATTTCTTGTTTGCTGGTAAATCCTAGGGATATCACGAAATTGAATAGGTACAACTAGTACACTACTTACGTCTGTTACTCCCAACTGAGCATAGGCAGCCGACCAGCATTCTCCAACCCACTCTGTCCTGAGAATTCCTTCCCAGTTCTATCCTATTTTTGTTTATTTTCCTCATGTTTGTCTGTCTTCATTTCTCGACATAATGTGCTCTGTGGTCTTCCTCTTCTTCTTTGGCCTTGAGGTTTCCATATGAGGGCTTGCCTTGTGACTCAGTTGGGTCATTTCTTTAATGTGTGTACTATCCATTTCCATTGCTTCTTCATAATTTCTTCCTCCATTGGGATCTGGTCTGTTCTCTCCCATAGTAAGTTGTTGCTGATAGTGTTTGGCCAACGTATCCGAAGTATTTTGCGTAGACAACTGTTAACAAACACTTGTATCTTCTGAATGATGTCTTTCGTATTTCTCCAAGTTTCTACCCCATAGAGTAGAACTGTCTTGACATTTGTATAGAAAATTCTGACTTTGGTGTTGGTTGACAGACGGTTGTTTTGAGTTCTAGATGTTCTTCAGTTGTAAATATGCTGATGAGCCTGGGGTCCCTCTGGAGCTACTGCTGGTCACAAGTCCGGATAAAGGAGGGTTGGGCATGGGGGTTAGCGACCCCATCCCGTAGAAAACTAACTCGCTAAAAAAACGCTAACCATTGCACTACTTACTGTTAACCTAAATTCTAAATCAGCTAATTATGTACTGTATAGATTATCAATTTTTCAGATATTATCTACTACTTGTGTTGAGTGAATTTTTCTTATTATACAAATGATATTGAGATAACGGATCATTTATGAAGAAATCAATAATCACTGTCTAGACAACTTACATAACTGGATTAAACATTTGGAAACTTTTGTTTACAGTTTAGTTCAAAATCTGTATGGTAACATAGAAAACTCAGTCGATAAACTATTAAAATATACTACTATTCACGAGCTTTTATCAAGACAATTATACTATCTCACCATTTGTAATTTAGAATATTTTAGATTCATAAAAAGTCGAGTACAATAGTACGTGCGCTTGAATTAAGATAACTGAAATAATATTCATTGTTATTATTTAGCAACAACAAATAGAACCTTTCAACTAACAAAAAACACGTCATGAGTTCAAATAGACTATCAAAGCCCATCAAAAAATTTACTTCACTTCTTGAATGCAAATATATCATCTGACAAGGTAAATGGAAACACTAGTTATACTCATCGACATGAGGTGAACAAAGTGTAAAAAAATTATAAAAAAAGGATACAATGTTTCCCGGGGAACAATGGTCGACGATTTAGCATTTCGCCAAAAATGCAACCTACAGACCAAATATCGATAGCTTTTGTATAGCTTTTTGAGCTGAGCATAATTTCTGGGGCTCTATACCATCGTGTAGCAACGTATTCGGTGAGCATGCCCATATGATCATGCTCGGGATCGTTAACTCGAGCCAATCCAAAATCACAGATCTAAATAATAGGAAAAAGTTAAAAAAGATTTATGACGAGTCCAGATTCGTTTTCGCAAATCACCGTTATTTTACTATATGGAAAAAACAAGAGAGAGCTTTCCAAGCCATTTTCCACGATAAAATCCAGTAATCTGGCTGCCAAGTTTTAAGAACAGTTAGACTATTCATAAATGAAATTACTAATAGTTTAGTGACAATATTTACGTTAAAAGTATTTTTTTCACAAAAGCATTAGGGAGAAAGTGGATATACATGGGCTAACACCAAATAAGTGAATGAAGCCATTTAACTGAAGGAACATAAATTTTAAACCCAAACTGTAAATAGAGCATCTAGGTCCTTTGGAGAGACGCGACATAATTTCATTGGGACCATGAACCGACTAGTGTTAGACAACCTTACAGAACCTGCAAGTACCGTAATATGGGATTCCTCAGCACTGTGCATCCACGAACCCAGGATCCTCCTTCTCGCGCACGAACGCTTGGCCTATAGAGCACCTAAATGCCCTGGCACGACCAAGGGTCTGGAGAGTTAGCTCTCCCTCTCGAAATACTCTAATATGGCCACGCGTATACAACCACTGCAACTGAAGTCCTACTCACTGCCTTCTCGCGGCATCACTGTCGTTTGCGAAATTGAGAGGACGAAAAGCGAATCTCCGGCGCTCTAACCGGGTTTGTGGGCATGGAGGATCCACCTAGAGGACTTGGAAAACTATGGTCCCAAACTAATGGTGCACATGGGCTCCAGGATCCTGAGGGAACAAATGGTGTATGAACCAATCGTTGGTCACCAGCTACCATAGGACTGCATCTTGTGACGTTGCTCCACCGCCTTGTAGATTAGACCTATAGGTAGAAGGCTCGGGTAGTGGCCTCCTAAGAAAACCACTTGATTCGGTCTGTGCACCCAGGCAATATCACAGCCCACACACAAATCGAATGAAGTGCGGCGCATATGTATTCAGTGTTTCCTTATACCAATGTTTGTGGTCAAATAAATAAATAGCCTCTACACCATTGAGTCGGCACCCAACTATGTTAATCCTTAACTTCAATCCATGACCAGTGAAGTTCAACCGTATCCAGCGTGAGGCAAAACTCACTGAGGACAATGGAAGTGGTCACGCAATATGAAGGATTGGTTGAAGTTAAACATTAACAGTTGGATGACAGTTCAGTGTTCTAGAGGTTAAGCGTACGTGCGAGGGACCGACGATCCTGGGTTCGAACCCCTGTGATGGGGTCGTGGATGCACACTGCTGAGTCCTATACTCCGGAGAAACTGTCGTTCAATGCTTACAGGTTCATAATTTCAGTAAAACTTAACAATCTCCACAACCTTAAACTTACAATTATAACAGAATTATTGGATAGTATTAACATATGACTATTCATGTTGCTTTATTGCCTTGTAGATATTGAGGTTTCAACCCAAATACTTAAAAGTGGCATACTTTGAAGCTGATTTTGGCGTCTGAATACATATCTTCTAAAAATTAGGTTGATTGAAAAAATTGGGGACAAACAAAAAGATTGTAAAGACTATGGTGTTTATTGGAGCCTCCAACAAGCTTTCACTTAAAAAAACACAAATAACATGATGCTCATTGCCCCCGAATGCCCTGGTACGGCCGAGAGTGGGGAGAGTCCGCTCTCCCTCTCGAAATGCGCTCACATGGCCACGCGTATATAGCCTCTTCCAGGGAAGTCCTACTCACTGCCTTCTCGTGGCGGGGGTGTTGTTCACGAAAATGAGAGGACGAAAAGCGAATGTCTGGTGCTTTAACCGGATTCCAAACCAATGGTGCACATGGGCTCCAGTATCTTGCGGGAACAAATGGCGTATGAAACAATTGTTGGTCACCGGCTACCATGGGACTGCATCTCCTTACGATGCTCCACTGCCTTGTGGATCAGACCTTCAGGTCGAAGGCTCCGGGTGTGGCCCCCCAAGAAAACCACCTGCTTCGGTCTGGGCACCCGGGCAGTATCACAGCCCTCACACATATCGAATGAGATTTGTGTGGCGCATATGTATTTGGTGCCTCTTTGTACCAATATCTATGTGTTGAAATAAATAAATAAATAATAAATGATAATCAACTGTTAAGCGGCGACCTAATGATTTAAGCACAACAAGAAGACACTAGATTTTTGTAGTTTTTGGGGAAGTATGAAACACGTAAATGTAAATGGGATACTTGAAGGGGATTAAATACGGCAATAAAGATACCAGGAATTTTGAATTATTTTAAAAACAAACAAGAAATACTAAAATGTGACAATTCCATTTTGATAGACATGTTTCATGAGTCGAAGTGGTTTAATTCTTTCCTAGATAATTGAGTTTAAAAGTGCATTTTACAGCAAAGCATCTTATTTTACTCTACTATTCTATAAAAATTTATTTACTTTACATAAATGCATACAACCCTCCCGAAAATTCTAACTAGCAATATTAAATAAAATGACTTATTGACAAATTAATCTACTCAATTTTGAGCTATTTTTATAAATGCTAATGATACTATCCGATTGCCCAAATCGAGAACCTGAAATAAGCTTTAACGAAGACACCACCACCACTACTCACAGGTGGTAATCTAGCTGAGTTTATGATAAACCATCATCAAGCTCTTCAAAAATAAACAATATACTGCAACGCTTTCTGAATTGCTACCCAGAATAGTTAATTAGGATGATAAAGCTGTGGATCATTGGTTACGTCACAAAACTCGTAACTATTAGTGAACTTGAGGCTTATTTTATTCATTAGGCCATAGGCAATGAGATTTTACGAATGACTCTCAAGCTATGTATATGACATAGCTTGTTTAGGCATTCAGTCAATCGCAAACGAAGGCGGTATTCGCAGAGATATGTAGCGATTTAAATGACCATGTTATATCAACACAATGAGAGGAATTAATGCGATGAGAAGCAAATGGGTAGCAATATTAATACTGGCTCATATAATCGAGAAATAAAATGTACAAAACAACATAAAATCTCAAGGTCCAAAGTAAGATAAAATCGAATACATATTTGCTCCACTTCAACCGATTGCGTTACATCACTTAGGGTCGTCAGATATTGGTTACTATTGTCGGGAAGTCTGCCTCTCACTGCAAGTCCTAGATTAATAATCAATGACTTTGAATTAATGTCTTGTTTTGATTTGGGTGCATCTAACTTTCTCTGAACATACTTTCAAATCGAGACGGGTGGTGAGTGGGCAGACAACATATTTTACAGCAACTTTAGTAAACGAAGATTTGTCGTTTCATCAACTGACTTACGATTGCTATTTATTGATTCAAGTCAGTTGTTATTATTCACTAGTTGATTCCAACGTATATGACCAATCAATTGAATGTGCCTACCGTTAAATATTAATACATAAACCTGTGAGTGCTTATTGGGTTACAGGATGACTGCTATTCATGCATAGATTGCTCACCTTTAGATCACAGCTTGCATTTAGCAATAAATTAGATGGCTTTAAATCACGGTGTAGAACATTTGCAGAATGAATGTATTTGAGACCTAAACAAAATACGAAAATAGTAAATTTAGCTCGGATAGCGATTTCTTTTTACCTCGGAGTACTTGATACAAAAAATAGCAAGTATGTTCTCCTGACAACTCCTGTGTTTTCAGTAATTTATACAAGTCAGTATCCATTAGTGTTTGAATGATATAACTGAAATTTAGACGGGAAAGGTTAGATAAAGCAAACTTACACATCCTTCATATCCTCTAATGTGTTTCCGACTAGTATAATATTTTTGATATCAATTATCTAGATAATAAGACAAAAAAGAGATTGAGTTTTGATTGATGAATTTCAAGAAAATTTAACTATGGATCATGTCCATCAACAATAGAATTGGATGTTCACGAAAAATGCTAAATAATTTGCAACAGTTGATATCAATGGAAATCTTAGAGAAATTGGTAAAAGTTAATGTATACTAATCTAACAACCTTCATATATAGTTTACTGCAACGACCGACCTACTACGAGTAATAAACAGATAATTGTGACTTTGGTGACAGATGAAAATGACACTTTTTATACCAATTGTAAAACCCATAAAATGATTATTTAGTGAGGCAAACAAACAGGCAGTGAATCAGTTATGGTCAACGTAAAGCTCGGCATATATGTGGGTCGGTCCATTACCAAGCTAAGACAGGAAGACGAGATAAATTTTAAGAAATGAATATTGAATGACGAATCGAAATAATGTAGCAAGAATAATAACAATAAGAAAGGCCGGACACTGAAAATACGATTTGAAAGGTATGTATGGAAGAATACCGGAACTCAAAAGCAAGATTAAAGATGAATATATTTGCACTGTTATGACCGGTTTTGAATTATATTATATGAAACCAACAACTAGTCCCAAAAGATTTAAGTGAAATTTCGTAAAGTTCAAGTTCAGACAGTTTATGTCAGACTGTGAGATAAATAAGGGGATATAAGGTAACGGAAATCACGGTTATAATAGCTGAATAAAACTAGGGGCTAAAACCACGCATTTTACCAATTCTTTAATCGTAAACACTAAACCGTGAAATAGGTAGCAGTTTCGAGTGATTCTAATTCATGCCATTTAAAACTTGGTTGACCACCGTATTTTTTAATTATCTATTTGACCACAAACATTGGTACAAGGAAACACTGAATACATATGCGCCGCACTTCATCATTCGATTTGTGTGTGGGCTGTGATATTGCCTGGGTGCACAGACCGAATCAAGTGGTTTTCTTAGGAGGCCACTACCCGAGCCTTCTACCTATAGGTCTAATCTACAAGGCGGTGGAGCAACGTCACAAGATGCAGTCCTATGGTAGCTGGTGACCAACGATTGGTTCATACACCATTTGTTCCCTCAGGATCCTGGAGCCCATGTGCACTATTAGTTCGGGACCAAAGTTTTCCAAGTCCTCTAGGTGGATCCTCCATGCCCACAAACCCGGTTAGAGCGCCGGAGATTCGCTTTTCGTCCTCTCAATTTCGCAAACGACAGTGATGCCGCGAGAAGGCAGTGAGTAGGACTTCAGTTGCAGTGGTTGTATACGCGTGGCCATATTAGAGTATTTCGAGAGGGAGAGCTAACTCTCCAGACCCTTGGTCGTGCCAGGGCATTTAGGTGCTTTATAGGCCAAGCGTTCGTGCGCGAGAAGGAGGATCCTGGGTTCGTGGATGCACACTGCTGAGGAGTCCCCTGATATTCTATCAATTAAACTTTAGATTTCTACTTTCGTTATCATTTTTCCAAATCGCTTTTTATCTTTTATCTCTTGAAAACATACGGGAAACACTGAACGAACTCAAAATATGCGGTACCGTCGAACATTTGTATTTAAGGAGCCGATTTTCAAGTATTGTGTGGGGAAAGTGGGAGAATACAACATTAAAGGATTTATTACTTCAATATCCGGCTTTATTAAGACACCTATATTTACATCAAAAAAGTTTTTTATCTTATTAAATACCAGAAAAATTAGAGACGGAGGAAAATGAGATTTATTTTGGAGAACTCTTGACCGCTATTTAAAGACTTCAGACTTCCAACAGACATAACATAAAGACGTTGCTTAAGCAAGTTTAGAAACACAGAAGCTTCTGATAGTTGTTGTAAATGCTGCTGAGTAGCATGGTTTTAATACACAAGCCTTCAAAACGTTTTGAGTTAGCTCTCATTTGAAGGCGAACATGATCGAAGATGATCCCGAGCTCCCAATTTTGGGGAAAATTTGACCCATTTTGTGGAAGCCGCTATGGTGAGCTTTGAGGAAATGGCGCAAAAACCCCTAAATTTCGCCAGATCGGGGGAAATTCCCCTTTAGCTTTGGTCAAGGTCGTCTGGCTTCGGGAATTTCCGCAAATACTTCCCAGAATTCCCCAAACTTGGGCGCTCAGGACAATAAACACAATGTCCACGAGACCATAAAAGACGGTCAAAGTGCAAAAGCTTAGTATCTTAGTGCAATGTAAAGTTTATCCGTACTTGTATATAAGCAAACTCTCTGAAGACTAGATTACTACATATTACCAAGTGCTCTTAACAAAAACAGTAATAGGCCATAGCTAAACGTACATTTTCATGAGAAAATCCAAGAAGAATCTTCAACTCCCGATATGTTCGCTGGCAGAACGTTTGATGTTCGAACGGTGAGGTCTTCTTAATGGCAACTTTCTCACCTCTTACGGTGTCAAAAGCATCACTGATCCGTGAGTGAAAAATAACTCATAATACTTACACAACCATTCCATACGCTCCTTCCCCAATATAATTTAGGTCAGTATAACGAGGGGATACTTCAAAAACCTGGTTCTTAATTACAACACGCACCATCTCAGAATTTGGTGTATCTACCGCTCTGTGTTTCGACCTACAACATAGCATAGAGAAACAAATATGTTTACGAAGTGTTAAAGAACGACACAATGTCATAACACATATTAAACTTCATTCCTCAGAAATAGTAAACTTCTTTTTCGACATTTAAATATTATTGAATATGAGTGAATGTGGTTCTATTCAAGTTTCAGGGTGATCAAGTTGTCGAGCATTTTCAGTCTTCAGTAATAAGGGTAGTAGGTTAGTTAACTTGTGTTCATCCTGACAGATTGACTTCCAGTGAAGGTCCAGCTTCTCCTTGAAAGTATTCACTGACGGGGCTGATACCACTTGTTCGGGTAAAACTTCCCAATGATTGACTACTCGGTGAGAGAAACGGGACCCTACTTTAAGTTTCTTAGATCGCGGTTTATGAAACTTCTTGCTATGACCTCGGAGACTATTAGTGCTAGAGGGAGCAAAAACATAAGACATATTAACAACCGAATCATAATTAAAGACACGAAATGCCCGTATAAGGTCACCTCGCGTCGTACGATACGACAAGGGGAAAAGGTTTAGGCGTTTTTAACGCTCACTGTAAAAGAGTTTAGAAAGACCCTTCGATAATTTCGTTTCCACACGCTGGACACGCTCAAGTGAACTAGTATCCTTTACCAGACATGGGCTAGCTGCTTGGATACAGTACTCTAAATGTGGTGTTACATAGATGGGATATAAAATTCGAAACATTTCCTCGTCAAAAGATTTGAACGCTCGGCGAAGTGACTATAACGCACGAAAACCTTTGACAGTGACTGCGTTGCACTGCGTAGTTGTTTTGAAGTCATGACTTATTATTACTCCTAAGTATTTGTGTTCTTGAACGCATGGAAGAGGTCTACCATCAATAGTATAATAGTAACTATTACCGTGACCGATGTGCATTTGCACAGTCTTCCTAGGATCGATTTCTAAGCCGTAACATCAAGCCAACCTAACTAACTCGTCTAAGTCAGCTTGAAGATCCAAATGATCAGCCTCACTTTTTATTGTTCTCCAGATTTTTACGTCATCCGCAAACAATAGTGTCGACGAGCTAAGCAACAGCGGTAACTCATTAACGTAGAGAAGGAAGAGCAGAGGGCCTGAGATGGTGCCTTTGGGTACACCACTTTTGACCGGCTTCCAATCGGATAGCGTTCCGCTGACCCTCACCCTCTGTCTGCGGTCACATAAGAAGTTTCCTATCTACTTCTGTACAGCACCTATTATTCCGAAGCTCGTGAGCTTCTGCATAAGACCTCGTGTGAAATCTTGTCAAATGCTTTGCTAAAATTTATGAATATCACATCGACAAACAGACCTTTGTCTAAGGCTGCTGTCCAAGAGAATTCAGTCGACGAGAATGTTATTTCCATCAGTAGGTCTATGATGAAGTTAAACAAAAATGGAGAAAGTGGACAGCCTAGACGGACACCACTTGAGGTTGCAAAAGTAGATGACAGTTCGCCATAAGCTCTGACTCGACGAGTAGTGTTCGAATAAAGAGCCTTTACAAGGTTTATGATTTTGATCCTTTCTTATATATTGGGACGATAAGTGCTTGAGACCAGTCAGATGGAATAACATCTACATCCCAGATCTTAGCTGAAATATTAGTCAACCTAACCACTAAAATTGGACCACCATCCTTAAAGACTTCTGTAGCCAAACCATCTGGACCAACTCCCCTTCCTCGTTTCGGATTAACTATAGCCTTTTGAACTTCTGCTAGAGTTGGGGGACCTACTTCAATGTTCCATTCACACTGTCTGGGAATGGAGGATAGTTGTAGAGTCGCTGAAGGCCAGTTGAACTGTTCCCTAAAGTGTTCCGCCCATCGTTCTAAACATCTGGACTAGGAGTAGATGAGAGTGTCGTCTTTTTCTGAAATAATCTCACTTACACTTGACTTATTAATTCCAGTTTCTTTTATTAGTCTATAAAGCTGTCTTGTGTTCCCTTTAGCCGCCGCCTTTTCCATCTCTTTTGCTTTCGTTGCCCACCACTGCTCACGGTCGTTTCTTAGACTTTTTCTTAACCTAGATCTGATTTGTTGTCGCGCTTCATCATGTTCGGAACCTGATGGGACGAGTTTGCGAGAATCCATCAGTGGGATAGACTTTGAAGAAATCCACTGGCTCTTTGTAACTCTGTGGTTTAAGTCACTAATAGATTTCATTGCTGTTTCCACAGCTGTTTGTATATCTTTCCAAGCAACATCTGGGTCAGCCTCGTTTTCAGAACTACCTATTTGTGACCTCAGTTGTTCCTGGAACTTACTTTTGGTTTTCTCGTTAGTCAATTCAGTTCTAATGGGTCTTTTTAATGTGGCTTTTTTGCGTCCAGTGAGGCGCAAGCAGATGCGTGCCCGTATTGGGGCATGGTCGGAGTCCAAGCAGGTACTCCAGAATGAGCGACAATCTTCTACCGACCCTCTCCAACGATGACGGATGGCAATATAGTCTATTTGAGTCCATCGTTGGTTTGGTGTAGGGGGTCGCCATGTTAGACGATGTCTCTCCTTATGCTTAAAATTTGTGTTTGCTAAAAATAAACGATTGTCGGAGCATAGTTGCAGCAGACGATCACCATTATCTGTTCGTTGTGCCGGTATACTAAAATACCCACCTAAATGCCTTTCTGTTTGGTTTAGACTACCTATTTGAGCATTAAAGTCACCTGCTACTTGTACTATGTCTGAACGTTTAGCTTTCTGAAGAAGTTCAGATAGCTTTCTGTAAAATTCATCTTTCATTTCATCTGAGCTGCAGTCGGTGGGAGCGTAGGCAGAAACGACAAAAAGACAACGACGTGTGTCCCTATCCTTCCGAGTTCTTACGGAGCCGTTTAGCCGAAAAGCACATAGACGACTGTTGATGGGGATCCACTCTAAAAGTGCTTGCTCAGCCCTCATGCTTAGTGCTATCCCTACTCCTGCCAGTTCACGAGAACTGGCCATCGTGTCACCACATACACGGAGGGTGTATCTCGTTGGCTCTCCGTTTTGCCGATGTGAGGTCAAATGAATGACCACACTGGGATCCTGTATGCGTGTTTTGGAGACACAGCATACATCAATGGTACGAGATTCCAGGGTTTTAGACAAGGAAGCCTGCTGGCCGATTTGACATAGGGTGCGTACATTGAAGGCTCCAATGGGTAGTGTGGAGCGAGGTTTCAGTAGACCTGGGACAGAGTTTTGAACACTAGAATCGTTGGCTATGGTGACACTTGAGAGGGAAGCTGAAAAAAGAAGTTTAGAGTTTAAAGTTGATGTAGGAGGAATAATAGGAAATGAAGAAGGAGGTTGATTATGAATACAGTGGTCTTGAGTGCTGTTAGAGATATGAGGGCGCTTATCACTTCCCGGTTGCCCACACCGTGGAAGGGTTCTTCTGGAGGTACCTGAAAAGGAAATAGGATTAGAAGTGGTCTTAGTGACCAGGGAGCGTGACCTCAGTGCCCAAGGGACAACTGCTTGAGGTTGGTCATACACGACCTTTTAGTGGGTAATTTTCGTGTTAGCTCCAAACTTGTTGAGACCTTACCGCCAGAGACGGATATCCGTGGGATAAGGAGAGGTGTGTATTTTTAGGGTCGACTGCTTATAACCGTACCCCTCCTTGTGGGAAGGCAGCATCGCTGTCATGCTGGTTGTCTGAAGGAAACACCTTACTGCTGTCACACCTCTGTACAGTCAGCAGTACGACTTCGCCTTCGGACCTTGGGTTTGTTGCTTTTAGTCTTACCGCTCTTCAACCGACCTTCCTGACGTGGTAAGACTTTGAGGAACGGTTGCTCCAGTCAGTATAGCTCGATTGCTTCATCACGAAGGGCAAGCCCGATCACCACGTCAAGGTAGCAACAACGGTAGGGAAAGACAGTTTTCTCAGTCACTTGTACAGACTCAATGGCTGGTATCTCAATGTGAGTGGCATAAGTATTTGTTACAATAAACGTAGAGTATATTTCATTAAGTTAGTTTGAAAAAGTATCAGCTTTTGCCCGATCTGATTCAGCTAGTAAATCTGAATTTTCGTGTAACAGTACCATCACTATCTTTCATTCGCCGTCTAAAATACGAAAACAACCGTTTCGGACAAGTACTGCTATCATATACCAAATATCATTCGTAAGAAGTACGGGATTTAGCTATGGTTTTTAGCTACGGAATTTTCGGTACTCACGCTGAAGTGATGCATGACATGTCAACAAGAATAGTTCCCAGAAGTGTTCCCTACGCTTCAACAGCCTCTAGGTTTCCTTATTAATTTTAAAGAGGGAAATAGCTTTTTTATATTACTATGAAATAGCTCCGCTTTCCATTTGCACCTGAACTGAAACGTTTTGTACACGGTTTACTTGCATGGTAGATATTGTGACTAATTTTTGTTCGTTTCTTTCTTGACTACTTTCGTCATCTTAGAGTATGATTTAACCATATTCAGATTTGTATAGTAAGGACAGAAGGCCTAAGGCCCGTTATTCTTTCTCACAACCTTCTCTGTCTAATATTCTCTTGAATGAGTCGATTGAAGCAGAAAACAGCACTGTTTTTGGTAAGAGGTTCCAAGAATTGATGACTCACTATGAAAACCTGAATGCCATGGGTATTCTGTTCGTTCTCCGTTTTTCTACTCACCTGCTACGTCCTCTGAGATGTCCCGATATAGTGGAAAGAAAAGGAAAGGATATATTAGGTCCAAAATCATTTCTTATTATTCACTACCTCAAAATCAGGTCACCTCTTAATCTGTGACCAAACAGAGTAAAGTGGTCTAGCTCTTCAAGTCGTTTTTCGCAACAATATTTTGAACTTCAGGTGGTCTACAAAAACAGTAAAAGCCTTTGTTAGCTTCCAAAGATTTTTGGCCTAAAGTTACATATCAGTTGTTATAACTGGTAATTGTTGTAGGGTCAGTGAAATGTTATTGTGCCGTGACCAAATCATCCGCCAGTGAGATTTTTGTGCCTCTAGATAACCCTCATGCTATTGATAGAAGAAACCAGAAAAGTGGTGAATAGGTCTTTATTTAGATTTTCGCGCAGTCACAGTGGAGCGTGGGATTATTTGTTCAGACAAACAAAGCCGTTCAACATTCATTATAAGATAATAGGAAATATAACACCTATACAAAATAAGGAAGTGAGTGAATACTTGAACTTTACTGTTTTATCATATGCTTAGTTCTTTGAGCTGAGCTCTTAACCAACCAACCTAAGCTGTTACAAGATCACCAAATATCAAACAGTTTGTCAACCTTCATCGATACCATTGACAACCGGCGGGCGTAAATTGGTTTCACTCTATGAAGTGAGAAGCAACAACCAACACTGATTTAATAGATAAGTTCGGTCGTAACGTTGTTCCAGTCAAGTGAAACTGAAAACCAGATAACACAGAGGATCTCATTATGTCTGTTATAGTATAAAATTGACAATATTGGTCGGGCACTACTTCGACCTTTGAAAATAACAATCAGGGAGCAGTCAAATGTTTAAATTGTGATGATTAAAAGTCATCACATCCAATAAGTTTCAAATTTGCATCTCCATGGATACCTTCCGCCTTCAATTTTATTCTAAAATAGTAACAGGTTGTAAAACTGAAAAATATTTTCCTATAGATAGAAAGACAAAGATTTTGCTAGTAAAATGAAGGTATTGACCTACCTCACAGTTTGAAGGAGGTTCGAGTATCCTATCTTTAACTTGAAGAAAATTACCAATGTATTGTAGCGTGGTGTCGAGTGGAGATTGACTATAAACACCGCTACCAAGATGCTCGTGCCAAATGACTCCATAAAATCCCCGAGAAGCCAAATATCAGAAGGCAATTAATGGACCGAATCGAGGTTTATTTGCTGGCGATCTCGTGGCATCGAAAGGATACCGAGATCGTGCCAGGATACAAGCTTGGCTACAGAACGTAACTGAACTCGCGTGAAGTTACAATCGAAGTGTAAGAATAAGAATGGAAGCACAATATAGCTGTCATTAGCACAGTCAAACAAAAGCACATTAAAACAAACACTGGTACAATTGGTTATGATAATAATTGTTTTTATTAAACCAGTCGTGTTCTCGTGATAAATGTGAGTCACTACAATATATTTGCTTGGGAAACACTAGATCCCCGCAGTTCAGATTATCATGGACCTAATCTCCAGAAGCCTACGTAGCGTCACTTTAAATCTTTCAGGACTTTCTTCAGTACATGACTAAAAACCCTCAAAAAGGTGCTCACTGTGTCAAGAATTTTTAAAATCAAAAATATAATTCTTAGGGCAATTTTCGAGTAGACCAACCTTGATAGGAATTTGAATCAGGAGAAAGATCCTCTGATCTCAACCTGAAGAATTTAGATTAGGACATGCGCAGTACAATCGGGTTGCGAATGATGTGTTCAATCTTCTTCAACTTTACCGATCTGTAATATAATTTGGTGTCATACAATGTTTAAAACGGCTTGACTTTAAGAGCTTGTCATACAAGACAATGTACAATATATATATGAAATATTTTGTGATAGCATTCCGAAAACCGTAAAATTATTTCTTGATGAGCATAAAATGGGAACTTCCGAAGATATGTCTAAATGAATGTTTGACATTTACTTTGATTTGAATTATTTCTTGAGTTGTCTGTGTCATTTTTACGAACAAATGATTCCTATGTACCTGATTGTCCGATGACTACGAGTTCTAAATATAATATATTCTTATATAATCATCTAGTTCTAGCTGCCTCGAATTGCACTGTTTCGGTAATTGTTAGTTAGTATATTAATTTGATTTCCTCTAATTATCGTACTTTCCTTCACTTATTTTTCAATTTGTAGCTGAACTTTCACTATTTCAGGTTCCAGAAGCACCGAAGAAATAAATTAAACTTTTCATTTAAGAAAGAACTCTTCCTGAAAATTTTTATGCATACATTAAGGTGATAGCAGTTTGTTCCATCTACTCATTCTGAATAAGCCATTTGGTAAGATACTTAACGAGTGAACGAGGACCACAAACTTGCAAAACAATGGTTTGTTTCGGTATTAAGTGCATTTACCCGTTGCTAGAATAATAGACGTATTCCCAAAATTGTGGATTTACCATTATGTGACTACCTAATAAATAATGTTTGCCGTAAAAATCACACATTTGCGTATACTAACTTGTCCTACCGTAACTGTCAGCGATACTATGTTTAGTACTTCTGAAGAACACGTCTGAGCCGAAGATAGATAATATATTTATTTGAAAAGAAATGAGTTAAATGCAATGACTACACCTGAACGACTGAGCCATACCGTCTCGATTCTTAGTTCCCGCGTTCACCAATTCCGATCTTCTCCATGACATTAAATATTGATATTGAATATACATCTTCCCAGTTATCATCTGTTCTGCTTTATGGATCGTTTGTTTGATAACCAATACAACTACAAACTCACGTTTGAACCTTGACGACTCATTCCTCACATTTCACAAAGAAAAAGAAACTAAATTGTGTGCCAAAATGCATGATTTTTGGACACTCATCTTGACTTCATAAATCTTATCAAAACACTTAATTTTTCAAGTAGCAATAAAAATCATTTCCAACATTTGACTAATAATGTCCATGTAACACTCTTTTTGGAAAAAAAAAGTAACTGAATACGAGCTTTTTTATAGGTATTCGTTTGACTTGATGTGTGTTTTAAGCAATCTCATGTCATCTACTTATTTAGCACTTTTTTTCAATGTTGCGGTACTTATTGTTTGCTATATGCAATGTGTTAGTGTCACCTACATCGTTATCTTGCATTCTTCCAGAGAATATGATATTAGAATCTATGACGGCTTACCAAATCAATTTCGAGTTATCAATGATACACCATGCAAGCTGAATTTTTCCTCTGTGTAACTCAACATTGACCCTACGATGTCGAGTCATCATTCACTTAGCCCGCGGAAAAGCTGTAGTAACCAAAGCCAACCTGATAGTGTAAGTACTTGACACTGCTTGAAAACGGTCTAAATGTGTTGATCTAACCTAGAAGTTGGTTTATTATGGGCCGTTCTAACTTTGGAACATATCTTTAAATGGTTTTTCAGGAGTAATTCTTCATCTTAGAGGTACCTGTTGTATGTCCCCTTTATTGACCCCATAATAACCAAAAACTTTTGATGTCAATGAAATACATATCCAATTTACTTCATATATATTTTGTCGACTATCAGTGTTAATATAATTGGATTTGAGATGTGCTAAATTTCATATGATTAGCCAGTGATATATGCACTGTACATATAAAGCATTCGAGTTAGATAATGCACCAGCTGAGCGAACAATAAGATGACTCAGTTTTTTACAAATAATGTAGAAAATGTAGGCAGTAAATAAACAGTGTTTATGTAAAAAATTTGTGGTTTTTATTATTAAATACAAACCAACTTCCTCAAAGTGTAATAAGATTCTGGGGAAATTTAGGAGAAATATTGGGGTTTTGGTACCGTTCCCACAAAATGTTTTACAGTGTCTTCCCCAAAAACGGGCCAAATTTCCCCCAAAATTGGGAGATTGAGATACTACGAAATTTTCGTATCTGGGCTTCCGTCCATTATTAGCGATAAGGTCATAATCAGTATGACGGTTACTTATTTGGAATCCTGAGTTCCATGAAAATTTTCTTCGTTAAGATCTCATCCTTAACTGAAACCATATACTCCATATTGACATCAAAATTGATCGTATCACGTTACTATCAAATATTGGTTGACACCATCATCACGACATTAATAAAAATCAAAGAATTAAAATGTCTTCAGCCCAAGAAATCAAGCTCTGACCAAAGTAGTGCTCCATCTGTAATCGACGCACTTATCTGATAGTTGCTGTCAGGTTGACGTTTCTAAGGCACAAAAACAGCCTAATGTCTGCCATTTTATTTATCGTAATGAAGGACGAAATGTGTTGTCACACGTCAGTAATCTTTTATTTGCAATCCTCATAAGAGCTTCCACCATCTAAGATTACCTGTATTCAAAGTGAGTACATGTTCCAACATTTACCATTTTGAAAAATATACTCTCCACTTTTCTTGTTTTAAATACATATAATTTTAGTAAACACCAATTATTATCTAAAAATATTGCGCCAATAGGTTTAGAGGACAATAAAACGTTACCTACATCTACAAAACCCAAAATGTATCAACATATATCAGGTATTTGTCAACATTGTGCTTTTTCTTCAGGGCGATTTCCATTTAATCGTCAACAACAAGGTTATGCCGTGTTTAAATTTTCGTGGACCATATTTTTGAACTGGTTTGCCTTCTATTATTACTTCTGTGTAATGTTTGCTGTATAGCTTTACGCGACTTTTACATGAATGTTAACCGTGTTATTATCATTCTTCTTTGTAGGTGGGTTCATTTTTACTGGGTACTTTTACTTGCACAGTACGTTTTTTGCTAGATATCATGATGTATTAATACTTTGTTAACTTCACATACTCTTGTGTTGTACTTCGAATTTACAGAGAAGGCATGAACATTCATGTAATTCAGTGATTATCGGTGTATCCACTAGCAGCGAAATTAGTAGTAGTCATAATTCAGAACCCGAAATTATTGAAGATAAACCTCCTAGTCCTTTGTCACTTCAACAAGATGGTGTTTTCTCTTTAGTTCAAAGCCCACCTTTTGAAAACGATCAGTTGGATTCTGCTTCTCCCGAAAATCTGTTTTTGAATCTACTTATTGACTCAAACAATCAAACATTAATCAACCTACCCGAAATTGATTCCACTGTTGCTGACCAAAAACGCGAACTTGCCCCTTTCACAAATGTACGTAATCCTGATCTGCAAAATATGACTCCATCAGAAAGAGCAAACTCAGTCTCTGGTGATATATCAAATCCAAACTGTTCAGATGTAGCGGGAAGTTTTCGAAAGCCGAAATACAGTCTACGTGATAGCGTTTCACAACAACCCATTACAGATTACATCTCTGCCTCAACTATTGGAAGCTCAGACCCTGTTTTTTCTTTGACAACCAGAGAAACTAACTTATCATTAATAGCATCCAGGAAGAGTGTAAAAGGTAGTCATAGCTAAATAACTTTTTTATGAGTGGTATGGTAGTTTCATTCTTGATCATTTTAAGATTATCTATTGGATTCATATTAAAGGCATTTTGAAGTTCCATATGATTATACCACTGGGAGTTGGACAGGTCATGGTTCATAAGTTTAGGTGCCAATTTTTAATCATTTTGTGTCTAATTAAAGAGTGATCTATGTACCTCAACTTCTAATACATCGTTGAGATGTGATATAGTCGGCTGGCAGGTTTGAGAGACAAAACTTTCATGAAAACCCAGTCATTCAGTCATCTACAACGTAGGACCAGGCATATATATGCATCGGTCAAAGTTGCCACACCTCATTAGCACAATAAGATAAAAATCAAATCTATAGAAGCGTTTACTTCAATGATAGCAATATGTAAATAAAAGATTATATAAGGATATGATACAAGGGAAAAGTACCAGGGATATTGACAGCAGTTGGGTCTAGCGTAATTATACCTATCATTACTTTCTTTGAAATTCAGCCCAGCAATTATTCATAGGTTTGTGCTTCAAACTACATGTTGTATAAAAGCTTATAACGTTAACCGACTATCCAAGTTACTGACTTTGAAAGTCATTCATCTAAAGTAACTAGTCAATACTGTATCAATTGATGTATTATTTAGAACTTCTATGCTCAGAAACAATCAAACGAAAATTTTCTGATCATATAATATTTTGATATTTTGTGGCTCACTTAAATTAAGTTGTTTGTGAATAAATTCAGTCAGTCGTATGTAATGTAATAAGGCCAATAATAATTACCTGATACATATGCATCGGTTTAAGTTACCACACCACATTAGCATTCCTAGGATCACTTATTTATTTGTGTGGAAAATAAATTTTTATGATAAAATGAGTAAAAGGTTTACGGTGTGCTAGTTTTCGAATTATTTATGTCTACTGTTTTTTTATTGGTAAGCTTAGTGTTCAAAAAAGGAAGTACTACCACTATTTCGAGAATGCTTGTTTTGGACATCTTTTCATTTAAAAATAATCTAGTGAATTGCAACTACACGTTAAAAAAAGAATGAAATAAAGTGCGGTTCTATCTTTGAAATTATTCTCCACATTTTTAAGTTCACGAGGGATGTAATTTTTATCTAAACGTCATAGCCTGTTTACTATTCTTCAATTGCTAGGTATATTTAATCCAATATAGTGCGAATTCCCATTTTAGCCATATATCTAATTTAGTCATCTGATCAAGCAATATAGAATTTTAATAGTTGAATTCATAAGTAAATTAAAGCTAAACCACTATTGAAAACCTGGACGGCCGTTTTTTCCTGGTATGGGACACCTCAACAGTACGCATCCACGATCCCTCACGCGGCCGTCCAGTGCTTTCAGGTTTTCGATGGTGATCAAGCTTAGGTCAACTAATGAGTTCAACTATTAAAATTACTACAATTTCCACAAACCCCCATTCTGATAACAATACAGAATTCTCCTGGTGTTGTCGAGTTCTCTGGGTTAAATGGTTTGATTGTGGATCTTTCATTGTCGTTCCGGGAAACATCGTCATCGCTTACATTCATACAGTAAGCAGTGACGACGTTTTCCAGAATGAAAATGAAAGCTCCACAATTAAAACAGTCAGCTCGGAGAACTTAACAATACCAAAAGTATCCACTTAAGCTCCAAATCTTTCCATTAAGTACAGAATCCTCCTAATAACTTTTCATCAAAGGCTTCTTGTTTTCAGGATAATAATTTTTTAGTTATTAGGGTGAAACCTATTGATCTAAATCTTTGAAGTGAAAACAATTATGAAAGATTAATTCATACGATAAGTCAACAACCAGGTAATTAATGTCAAGTAAAAAGTACTATAGATGACTAGTCAAGTTCTGAAATTACTGCGTAAGGATTTGTGGTAATATTTAGTTAGCCCAAAGAATAACTTAAGTATCTCTTAGTTCTGCGACTTGATTCCGCTAACAGGTCATGCATATATTCAAAAGATTAAAAGGTATTTTTCAGTATAGGGTTGTGGAGATTGTTAAATTTCATTGAAATCATGAATTATTCTAATTTAGGTGATCACTGAAAACCTGGAAACACTGGACGGCCGTTTCGTTCTAGTATAGGACTCCCCAGATATGCGCATTCATGATCCCACCACAGGGAATCGGACGCAGGATATTCTGTCTCGCTCCGAAACGCTTAACCTCTAAACCACTGAGTCGGCATCCAGCTATGTTAATGTCTAACTCCAACCAATCCACGATATTGCTCGGCCATCTTCAATTATCTTCAGTTGGTAATTGCCTGACACCTGACACCGTTGAACTCCACTGGTCATAGCTCCGCACTAGCACTGAGAGAATTTTCTTCTCGAAGCTAGTGATTAATGAGCATATAATAATTGTCAGTATGAGGTTGTGTAGATTTTTGAATTTCTTTGAAATCATGAACCGATCTAGACTAGAAATGATTTGTAGTTAAATTGTAATTTTAATGTTTCTAGTACATGTTTGATGCACTCTCAGCATTTAGATAAGTTGTTTGTATAAGGGATGATATAAATATTCAATCTCATCTAATCTACTCCGGTTTCTCGAGAGTAAACGAACTCAAGAAGTCAAAATCATCATTTCGATTGTTAACGTCTCATTTTTAATGGATATCAAAAATATTTCAAGGATCATTGAAGGTCAAATTTCCTGCTCATGCGAAATAATTTTGTATTTTACAGAACTTTATGGACAACCAAGCTGGTGGGGTGATGGTGATAGCGACTATTCCTATCCACATACCTCTTCTTTTGGAAATAAAGAAACTGTGCATCCTGTTATCGCTTCACGCAAATACAGTGAGTTTTCAAGTTTAATAATTTCTCCACCTTTATGGACATAGAAATACATGTCCCCAGTTGTTTCTACTCTCAAAGAAATGTGAATTTATTAAAAACGCCTGTTTAATTTACAATATATTTCATTTGCATTTCTGTTAATATTCAAATAGTTTGAATATGGATAAAGTTGTCGAATTTCATCTACCTCGTTCCGCTTACTTCTGTTTAAGTAACCAAGTAGTATCATTAGTCCTTACACTTATAATATGGTTAAAAGCCAAGTACACGACAGTGATAGAATTATTTAGATATAGTTTTTGTATGCATTTGGCAATTATGCTTCATTTAAATCAATCTATGCTGTTATCATTAAATAACAATTTTATACATAAAATTTTTTTTACTTCTGAGTTCTTTTTAACGTACTTCATATATTTTACTATTATTGTTTATTTAAAGTCTTTTAAAAGATAAAAAGATCGGATCAATATTATTTCATTTACTCACTTACGATTCATACTATTCCATTGGAATTTATATCAGTGTTACTATGTTATTAGAGTTGATTATAATACGTGTATGATATGTCTTAAGTTTCTGCAACTTTTAATAACTCGTATTGGACATGAAGTAAAGTCTAGCCACGTGATACATTATCTGATTTGTTTTTAAATCGGCGACTATAAAGAAATATCACATAAGCACACATAATTGTTACTATTGTTTTCTGATCTGTAAAAAGTATGTTATTAAGAAAGATTATATATACTGTCGGTAATGATTAATTACCCGTGTAAATGTTTAAAAAAAACACTCATCGTTTTTATTGTTAGATAATCACTTCTATTCTATAAATGGGTTTATATAAACAAGATTTAATTAAGCAAAAATGGATAGTGGCTAGCAGTGGAGTCCAGGACGCGCGTTTCGTTCTATTTGGGACTCGTCAGCTGGATGTACCTACATCGCAGGGTCGATGTTCACTCTTTACTTAAAAAACTTGTGACTTATGGCTATATCGAGGCAATTCGCACAAGATGCACATATGCCAACATGAAACTGATCAATTGCAGTCCTAAATAACAATGGGAAGATACAAACAAAACAACACCGAGTGAATCTAAGATCTAATTAAATTGAATTTTCGTTTTTTTCCTAGGAGATTTTCTAAATTTTACTAATTCAAACTTTATCTATATGAAAGGCTCTTATTCATATCTTCATTCATCATTGTCTGTCACTATCTTTAACAATCCATCTAAGCCACGCACAAACCTTGTCAAACAATGAAATCAACCATTAGCTTTTTTCGTAACTTTGCTATAGTGGTTGGTGGGAAGACCCTTAGTTTATCAGAACAGGAATACTAGAAGTTAACCATTGAGTTACATTGATGAAGCTTGAAACATGTCAACAATTTAATCTGCAGAGGTAATTAAACTCAAATGTTGTTTAGGTGCGAAGGTTTCTTTTTGGTTTGGGACTTCTGATAGGAACAAGAAATCCCTGTTCGAAATCTTACACAAAATGTTTAAATTGATCGGATTCAATAATGCAAGGTTTCGGATGGTAACACCATAGTGCAAATTGTGAAACTTTTCAACACTATTGCAAAACATCGACAGACAGTGAAAAAAAATGATAAAAGCTGGTTGTATAGACCAGGTAGATTCTTTTTTAGGGGTGCCCTAATTTCTATGCTGATTTGTTTGGCTGATAAGTTGTCATTCTAAGCCTAGTCACTAGAAGAAGATATATCAACACAAATGATATTTCTAGATGAATAAGTTGTTTTAAACGACTGCAACAAACAAATACATTCTTGTTATTTAATCTATTTTGAGTAAGTTATTATTTACTGACGACTTATTATTTTCAATTCTCCCATTCGTGCCAACTATTACTGCTTGAAGTTATTGTAGTTTAATTCCAGTGCTCTTCATAGAATCTTTTATTTCTCACTTTATCCAGTTTTAACAAAATTTTAGAGATGCATTAGAATTTATCGAATATATATGTGCTCAAGCTAAAGTATAGCCAAGATTCAAGTAGGCACTTTGACTGACTCGTATTCATTGAGATGCTGGTATGAGTTCATTATTCAGGTAATGTTTCCTTCATTTCTGAATCTGGTGACGAAAATGAGATGATTAAAGTTATTCATCTGTATAGTTCAAGTTCAGAATGTACTTTCTGAATACTGTCCTCTTTGAGTTCAGCTTCTTGTTATATACAATGAAGTTAGGACCTATAACAGATTCCTTTATACTTTTATTCAATAAAACTTATTCTGATCTGCATTATATTCAGCGGTTATGTTAACTAGAAATAAGCAGTAAGATATCACGTTTCTCCATTCTCTTAAGTTTATATATAAACATTCAGTCTAATGACATTCATACATCTGTAAAGCCTCAAAAATGGTCTTGACAAGAAAAACTGATTTTTAATGCACCTAAAAGCTACCACTAATATTCCATTAGCTTGAGTTTTTAACAAACATCGTAAAGCTTTGGAAGGTTAAATAAATGACGATCTTGGTAACAACAAGAATTAATTTATTGAAAGTTATGAATGTAGAAGTTTGAAAACACCAAGATTAAATCACTGTTAAGTGCGAAAAAAAAAACGATAGACTTACTGTCTATTCACTTAGCGGTTGAAATCAGTAATTTTCTTAAACTCAAATATTGGTTGTTTAATGATAATTATTTTGGTTTTCGTGCATAGTATACCGGGTTTTCAGTGGTGATCTAACATCAATCGGTTCATGATGTCAATCAAAAATATTATTAAACATTCGAACTTAGATGTAATTTACACAAGAATCTCCTAGCATCTACTTAATTCGTCTACTAGTACTGATTAGTTCCAATTTGAGCTTAATTACAGCTTACGATAGACCTGCTAATATCAGCATATTAAAGGATTGAATTGATTTGACGAGTTTTCATTTCGGTTATCAATACAATAGTAAAGGGAAGAGATTAGATTTGCGCTCATCTAATAGGTTTTGAATTACAGAATAATATCGAAATCTCACAGAGACGTTTATGTGCTAGTCAAATTAAATACATTTTAATTACCTGATTAAAACTATTTTATACATTTAATCACAAAGAAATTCTCCACACAAAATATAAAGTATTGTGATGCATTCCATTCTAGTGGTAAACAGTCAAGTTTTTACTGCATTTATCATCAACTGTGAAGAAGTTTTCTGAAACTTCTATCCAAAAAACATTCTCGATTGTGTAATATTTTTCTTAGTGTTTATTGCGTACTTGTATTGAGTCTTCCATGCATGAATTTTTGTTTTGTCTCATTTTGTTCCGCTGAAAGATGGTTTACAAGAGAGACAAAAAAATCAATCAATACGATTTCTCCCTTTATGTTTTACTGTTTTCGTATTGTTTAAGTTTTAATCCCTTTATCAAAGCTTACGAATGAATAACACGGTCAATAATTAGTTAGTTAGGAATGTAAAATATGAAAATCTATTGGGCTATTTTCGCAGTTGAGAAATAAACAATACAAACGTTGATTTTATTCAAACTTATAAACATAGATATTTTACAATTATTTTACTTCAACCAATGCACGAAGTTGCGCCACCGAACACCATTGTGTTCAGTGAGCTGATATCTCACAACAGACCTGGTTGAACTCCACTGGTGACGGCTTCTCACTAGAACTCCAGTCACTAATGAGCAGTTGATTATTAGAATGAGTTTTGTGATGATCGTGAATGCGCACTGCTGAGGAGTCCCATACTAGGACGAAACGGCCGTCCAGTGCTTCCAGGTTTTCCATGGTGGTCTAGCTTCAATTGACTCATGATTTCAACCTGTGAAATTTCCTAAATTCTCCACAAAACTCATTCTAATTATTTTACTGTTTCTTTTTTTTGGTGTAAATTTACTACCATTTACGGAACAATGGCTAAGTAATTCAAATGAACGACTCTTGTTATTAAACCCTCATAATTCTAGAGGACAAGTCAACATTGTGAAATATACTTGTCACTACTCTCTAACAGCATAAACATAACACTTTGACATGCATAGACAATCATATTAGACATGACCTTGAGAATTATTCGCCCATCCTTTTTAAATGATCGTAATTAACTACATAACTGAAATTTCTTTTGATACTAGTTAAATTCTAAGGTAATGTAACATTTTTCCTATAAAATCACTTTTTATGATTTACTAAACAAAATCTGTTACTCCTCATGGAGGGGCAGAGGCCAGCCATCAGCACTCGTCTTCCAACCCTATTCTGGGCAATCCTTTCCAGATCTTCCCAGTTGTTATTCATCCCTTTCATATCTGCTTCTATTTCCCGATATAATCCGTTCTTCGGCCTTACTCTTTCCCATTTCCCTTCAGGATTCCGAGTTAGGGCTTGCCTCGTGATGCAGTTTGATGATCTGCGTAATGTATGTCCTATCCATTTCCATCGTCTTTTCCTAATTTCCTCTTTAATTGGAAGCTGGTTTGTTCTCCCTTATAGTAGGTTGTTTCTGATGGTATCCGTCCAATGGATGTTGAGTATCTTGCGTAGACAATTGTTTATAAATAATTCCACCTTCTTGATGATGGTTGTGGTGGTTCTCCAAGTTTCAGCTCTGTACAATGGAACTAACTGTCTTGACGTTCGTATTGAAGATTCTCACTTTGATATTGGTTGACAGGCAGTTGTTTTGATTTCCATATATTCTTCAACTGTAGGAATGCTGCCCTTGTTTTGCCAATCCTTGTCTTTAAATCTGCATCTGATCCTCCTTGTTCGCTAAAAAAGCGCTAACTAGAAAAAATAATTCAAACCAAAAACACAACATTAGTTTCAGCTTTTTTTCACAATGAGAAAGTTTTGGTTAGTAATCACATAAAATAGATTGTTTACTAATTGTAATCAAAATATAAGGAGTGAAGGAACACCTACACAATGTATTCTATTCTTGAAATAACTAAATTATTGTTTTTTCGAAATTTTGATTGGTTATTTTATCACACTGAAATAACACTTTATAGTGAGTTGGGCGGTTACAGAATTTCTTTTTCAAAAAATCGAGGGCACATCTTGAATATTACTAAGCAACAGTAGGCTGTGCCCCTAAATGCCCTGGTACGGCCGAGAGTGGGGGGAGTCCGTTCTCCCTCTCTAAATGCTCTCACATGGCCATGCGTATATAGCCTCTTCCAGGGAAGTCCTACTCACTGCCTTCTCGTGGCTGGGGTGTTGTTTACGAAAATGAGAGGACGAAAAGCGAATGTCCGGCGCTTTAACCGGATCCCAAGCCAATGGTGCACATGAGCTCCAGTATCCTGAAGGAACAAATGGCGTATGAAACAATTGTTGGTCACCGGCTTCCATGGGACTGCATCTCCTTACGATGCTCCACTGCCTTGTGGATCAGACCTTCAGGTCGAAGGTTAAGGGAGTGGTCCCTTAAGAAAACCACCTGCTTTGGTTTGGGCACCCGGGCAGTGTCACAGCCCTCAAACATATCGAATGAGATTTGTGTGGCGCATATGTATTTGGTGCCTTTTTGTACCAATATCTATGTGTTGAAATAATAACAGTAGGCTGTACATTATTGAAGCAAACAAATCATCCACTACACACTAATGATAACACATTTTGATAAAGTCAATGATTGTTAGAGTACATAGTATTCAAGATATCGTTCTCATACAAAGTTATATTCTAGTGAATATTATTTTCTAGCTTCACTCAACTCACATTTCTCGATTCTTGATTTATTCCATGAGTTACATATACTTACTGATAAGTTTTCTAATTGAACGTTAGATTTAGTTCCTAAGCTCTTCTAGTAACCACCAGGCTAAATGTACACAACAACTTGAACACGAGAGAAAAGGCGTGAAATATAGAAGAAACGCTTTACTCCAAACGTTCATTTCTGTACAGAAAATCTAGGGTCTTTATAGTATTTTAGATGGTTTTGGGTTTCCGAAAAATTCTAGAACGCTACTGTAACATAATAGCAGTATAGGTAATCATTCAATCAGAAATTCGACATATGACTCTTCGCTTTCTAGATGTTTCTGATAGAACTTATAGTGAATGCTAAATACTTTATCGTCTCCTTTCGTGACACATGCTGTCGAAGAATCCATTCTGAGGCACGAATTCTACACATGAATACGGCTATTCGAGAGGAAAGGTAAAATGTGAGAAAAGATGTCCTTTAGGATACTAAAACTATCAGTGGCCTGTGTCTCACCTCTTGAAAATGAAAGCCATTTCTTAGCCAATCAAATGCACTTACCAGCTGCTCATTTCTGATTACCTCACTGTACCACTTTTCTTGTTTCAGATACTTGTATTGTTAATAAACTGATATTTTGTCTATACAGAAATAGACGAAAATACTTTGTAAGCTTTTATTTAGTTTTAGCATAAAGTTAACATTAGTCTTTAATTTCTTGTTTATCTCTTTTGTTTTTGTTTGTTTACAGGTATGAAAACGGATATTAATTTAACATCTAAGGAAAATTCTACTCGACCCCCTGCTGAAGCATTTGTTATAGATTTTAGTTCTTCGAAACCTCGTTTGGAAAGACCTGCATCAATATCTGGTAGTCTTAGCCAATGTGTTCCTCTGAAGCTTCGTCAAGGTTTAGATGAAAGGGAAAGGAAGAAAAAGGAGAAACAATTAGAAGTTAGAAAACAATCTACATCCGGAATAGTAAATAAAGTAAGAGGATCATGATATCACATTCATTTTCTTAGGTTTCTTTTTGACTCACTCAGGTAGGTAAAAGAATTCAAACTAAGGTGGATATATATATAGTGAACGAAGAACTGAGGTGGGAAAAAGCAACTACTGCTACATACCACATATATCTGTCAGTATAACTAGCATGCGCTGCATATTAATTAGGTTGTAATTAAAAAGCGTTTGGAGTATTTGAAATACGTCATGCCTCATTCGGTTGATTGTGCTGATTTGATGTTGCTGCCAATTGTTCATTCTATTATTTCATTATTGTTAGTACTAATATTTCTACAATTTTGCATTCTACCATTGTTGATATTTCATCAATTTACTGATGAAACATGTAATGAATTAGATCGATTTATTATATGTTTCCGTTTTCTTTCCACAATCGTTATGTATCTTGTTTTATTGATCTAGTTACCGCTTCATAGTTATATATAAACTTACTTTATCAGAAATGTGAATTTTTAATTAATTCTCTAATGAATTCTGGCTGTTTTTTTCTCAAATTATGAATCTCATTGTGTGAAAATATTCACATAAGCTACTTATAAATAGTGATTTCTGCTAACTGAATGCTATTGATTAGCGAGTTGTAAAAAACATCTAGACATTATCAAAACGTATTTTATACTTTAGTCAATTTGAATACTACCGTTCAAGTTATTTATATATATTATCTTTAAATCCTTAGTAGGTGTCATCTCATGATGACATCTATCTTAATGCGAACCACTTCCTCCGTTAGCGGGTGTAATATCACCAGTTTGTAGGTCCGAACCATCCTTCCTATTAGCATCACTAATACTCTATATAAACTTTGTCATTCAAAGCTGAGTACATAAACTTGCACTTGGTAAATTGTATGACGTTGTTCAGCAATCATCGACTTGATGGAACAACAGGCTATCTTACACACTATAATGCACCAAGATAGGTAGTTCGAGGTTTTAAAATCTTGTTTACCACCTTTACCCAGTATTTAGTACCCTCGATGCGGTGTAAATATGTTATATCAGTAGGAAATATAAAGAATTCTGCAATCTAAATTTACTGTTTTGTCTGTCATTCTTCTTGCATTAAACGGATAGATGAATTTGCTAATCTGAAGTGCAAAATTGTGTCATTCTTCTGCTTTATTTGTTTCTAATTTCAAATAAGTTAAGAAGTATTTGACTAATTGTCATGTCCTAGTTGCCCACATCGCAAAAAGGCAGTTTTTTGAGGTGCCTGAAAAGTCAACTGAAGTGTTAATGATCAAAGAAACTTATGAGGCTTGGCTGTACAGCCCGAAGGGAAAAGTACGTGAAGGCAATCAAACCACCCTTTTGGGAGAAAATTTTAATGTGTCATCTCAGTACCTTAAAAACCTTACAGACGGTGATGGAAATCTGTGAAGCATGATGAGGTGTGCCATTCAACGTTTTCTATCTCCTTCCTCGTGTTGTCAGAAGGTATCATTACTGAAGATTCCAATGATATATGGGAAACACCTTACTGCTGTTACACCTCTGTACAGTTAGCAGTACGACCTTGGCCTTGGACCTACTTTTATTCTTTCTGTTTTTTCAACCGATCTACTTTTCATGGTCCTGACCGTTGTTGCTACCTTGACGTGGTGGTCGGGCTTGCCTATCGTGATGAAGCAACCGAGCTATACTGGCTGGAACAACCGTTCCTCAAGGTCCTACCATGTCAGACAGGTCGGTTGAAGAGCGGTAAGACTAAAAGCAACAAACCTAAGGTCCGAAGGCGAAGTCGTACTGCTGACTGTACAGAGGTGTGACAGCAGTAAGGTGTTTCCTTCAGACAACCAGCATGACAGCGATGCTGCCTTCCCACAAGGAGGGGTGGGGTTAGAAAAGGTCGACCCTAGAAATGCACACCTCACCTTACCTCACGGATTTCCGTCTCCGGCGGTAAGGCTCTTTGAAGAACGGAGCTAACACGTCAAAAACCTTCAACAAAAAGGCCGTGCGCGACCGGCCTCAAGCAGTTGTCCCTTGGGCACTGCGGTCACGCTCTCAGGTCGCTGAGACCGCCTCTAATCCAATTTCCTTTTCAGGTACCTCCAGAAGAACCCTTCCACGGTGTGGGCAACCGGGAAGTGATAACCGCCCTCATACCTCTAACAGCACCCAAGACCACAAGACTTTTCATGGTAAGATCTAAAGAACAAGTATTTCAACTAATATAGTTATATTGGGTCATCAAGATAGGCACTTAATTTTGAATAAAGCATTGTAAATATTATAATCCCTTTTTTGTATTTGTTTAAATCTTCCGATTGATGTTTAGAACTGCAATCTATCAGTCTCTTATTGGCATATAAACATCCTGTACGGGCTGTCCTCGATATTGTCTTCAGTCACAAGTATTATAAGCAAAGATGGATGGTAGATAGCAGTGGAATTCAGCACGGGTTTCGAATCCCGGAGTAAACATCAACTCTGTGATGCAGGTACATCCAACTGACGGGTCCCAAATATGATGAAACTTCCGTTCTGGATTCCACTGCTAGCCACCATCTATTTTTGCCTATATTGTAATTATTGTTACAAACTTCACTTAATACATATATTTTTTCTCAGCATATGAAAATAATCAGTAAAATTGTTTGCATTAGTATATGTATAGATTTGTAGAAAATTGATTATATAAATGAACTAATTGATACCTGTTAATTATTAATAATAAATAATATTTAAGTTGTTAACATATTATAAAATTCAATTGTTTCATTATACGTTTGTTCTGCTTCGATTTAATTACAATTAGTGTTAGTGTATGGTTATATGTACACATATGTGAAATATAGACTGTTAATAACATCGACCGTACAACTTTAATTCTTTCATACAAACTTTATGTTTTGTCTGTTATTTGTTAATCCGTATTGAGTTTTTGTTGTTGTTGTTGTTATTATTGTATCATATGATCTTTGTTGATATCTTTATCCTTATAACCTTTTTTATTACATTGTGTTGCGTATGCATAACTGCCACCTTCCTAGACAAGTTATGTTAACGCTTGTGTAAGAATACGTTAGAATAAAACTAATAGCGAGCAAACAAAAAAAAAACGACATCAGTTCATGAACTTGATGATTGGAGCTCTGTTCATAGACTTGGTCGAAATAACCTCAGTCAGTATTTGGATAGGTTAAGTGATGTGGTTTGAAATCAATCACAACGATGCAGATGAATTCACCCTTAATATTACGCTAGGTCTTGAGCTCCAAAATTTCTCTAAACCTACCTTTTCATACTATTTTTTTGCAAATTATATTCTCAACGTTTATTCAATGCTCCTTGTTTTTCATTAATCCTTTTAAAATTGTTAACAGTCTGTGATAAGAAATGTAGTTGGACAGATATCTAATTGTTTAGACTATACAGTCTATCTTATTTTATCTTTTAAGTGAATAGATTTTAAGTTATTCATATTACTTCACTGACTATTGGACTGTCAAGTTTTTTCTTCTAAAATTGTAATTATATGACAATCGGAACTACACACAAGCAGTTGGTAATTATATCGAGTTTCTTTTCATTCATCTACCAGACGTGTATGTTAAATTATTCATTTATTTATCTATTTTTATGCGAAACTCAAGAGTTAAGCAAATAGGAACCCTCAGTGTTCTGCTAATAAACGAAAAAAGTTTATTAACCAGTCTCTAAAGTATTTAAATAAGTTCAATAAAGATTTTTAGAGAGTCTAATATTTCATCAATATTTAGAACAAATTATCGTTAAAACCTAAGGTGTATTTAGACAGCTGTTTCATCCTAGTTTAGAATTTATTTGGAGTGTTCACTGACAATTTCGCCGTAGCTCGAACCCAGGACCTTAAGGTTTCGTGGTAACAGATGAATTATAAAACTGCTTAGTTGTTGTCCTATAGTACATATTTTGTGACATGATGCAACAATCATTCAATCCTACTTGGAACGAATATTTCACTCCCTGCATCATTGACCTCCATCTTTTACTAGTTATAACTATGACTTCAAAAATTCACCTCCACATAAGTTACTAATGACTAGACAATTACTGTTTTGATGAAGGGTTTTTCTTCGATGATTAGTTTAAATTGTAAACCTATTACTCTGAATTTGATCCATAAAAAAGTACCACTTACAAATAAGGAATAAGTTTATTTACAATATTTACTTTTAACAATTATGTATTTCGAATCGTTCGTGAGAATTATACATGTACTGGTATTTTATAGCGAAAAGTGGAATGGACGAACCATTCAGGTCTCGGATTTTGGCACGAAATTCACTCATCTATTTGGCTAAATAGAGTTTTGGCATTATAGCTGATGTCAGTTCGTGATGAAAACCCTAAATGTAATTCTTAACCCTAACCATCAACTTTAAATCATAATTCTAATTCCTCACACTAGTTTCTAATCCTCATTTAATCCTGGTTACTAAGTGGCCCCCTCAAGGTCACTTAGCGTCACTCAAAGTTCATCCATAAATTATTGTCTCACCCGAAATCAATTAAAATAATCCACAACTTAAGAAATCAGCAATGAAAATTAATTAATAATAGGTTTCGACATCTTATTTTGAATGAAAATAAAAATAATTTCTATGAAAGGAAGTTCATGGCGGGATTCTTTTTTGTCTTTAAAACACTTCCTTAGTTCTAGAAACATAATAAATTGGTAGTTTTTATAGGATACTTTTAAAACTATATTGTAAGTCTATTGTATGAAATATGTGTACTATAGTTATACATTCATTGATAAAAATACTCTTGATAACGAACATCGACATTACGGTCGGTTATGTAATCGCGCCATTCCTTGTGAGCTTTACGATCATCTAAATTTTGGACAAACTCCTAAAAGGAAGGGTGTTTTAATCGTAATTCAGGTCAGTTACTCAAAGAAAATTTTCTATCATGAATATATCCATGACATCTTTTTATTCTGCATTTTTGATGATATATAAGGTCTTCAACTGTTAGCTGATCAGTAATTGATAATTAATATTGTTAAACAAATTACTTACTTACGCCTGTTACTCCTCATGGAGCAGTATAGACCGCCCAACAGCACTCGCCTTTCCTGGGCAATCCTTTCCAGCTCTTTCTAGTTGTTATTCATCCTTTTCATATCTGCTTCTGTTTCCTGACGTAATGTGTCTTTTGGCCTTCCTCGTTTCCACTTCCCTTCAGGATTCCGAGTTAGGGCTTGCCTCGTGATGCAGTTTGATGATTTGCGTAATGTATGTCCTATCCATTTCCATCGTCTTTCCCTACTTTCCTCTTGAGCTGAAAGTTGGTTTGTTCTCTCCCACAGAATGGTGTTGCTGATGGTATTTGGCCAATGGATGTTGAGTATTTTGCGTAGACAACTATTTGTAAATACTTGTATCTTCTTGATGATAGTTTTTATTAGTTCTCCACGTTTCTGTTGAACAAATTGCTTAGCAATAACATCAATTTATTATTAACCGTTGAGTTACCTCTAAATTCAGTCAAAATATCAACAACAGGATAATCCAAATCATTACAAATTAAATTAAAATTCATGCTTGTTGCACAGATGAATGGCTGTTTAAATCCAGTAGCTAAGTGGATAAGGCGATGATGTTTGAATCAAACGGTATGCGGTTTGAGTCCTGGAGTGAACATCAACTCTGGGATGCATATACGTTCTGCCGATGAGTCCCAAATGGGACTAAACGTACATTCTGAATTCCATCACTAGCCACATTCCATTTATTTCATATTAATTTTAAGTTACCTGTTCACAAACTCTACTTCGTTTTAGACAGTCGGGTAGTATCATTAGCCTTTCAACTAAACATTTGGCTCAGATTGAGTACATAACAGTGTATTTAGTTGAATGAGTTACGTTTAAGTGGGATAAACGACGGGATTGATAAGAATGAAATTTCCTAAATTATTTCTTATTTCCAGTCACATATGTGTACACAAATTAAAATGGTGTTATATATTTACTACTTATAAAATCACATTTCTGTGTATTATGCAAGTGCAATTAATTTTAGACTATCAATTACCAGGATTGTACAAAATGCTGAGAACTAAAACAGATATGTGCATCTGTACATTGTGTGTGTGTCTCTGTGTCTTCATGTGCGTGTATGCACATGTTCGTTCAGTCGAAAATAATGATTAGCTAATTGTACTTAATCATTACTTAATAAATAAGTTTAGTATTTAATGTGAAACTTAATGAATGATCCTGTGAGAATGTGGGAAACATTTGTTTATATGTTAATAAAAAGATGTAATCAGTGATTATTGGTATCACTAATATTATTATTATTATTATTGTCGATTAGCAGTAGCTTGGTTAGTTAGTTAATCGCCGATTAAAAGAGATGTCAATCATTAAAAGTTTATAATTCAATTACTTGTTGTTCATACAAATCTAACAGGGTACTACTGTTTAATGTGCTACATGATCATACTTTGTAATTGATGTGAAAAGATGTTGTATGTGACCTAATGAATGGTTGTTTTCTTTCATCATCATCGTCATACATATAATACTTTCTAACTTATTACAAGATCGTTAACATTATTTTTGTTATTATTACAATAAAGTTCAATTTTTGAATGTATTTATACTGTGTATTTGTAGTAATAATGTATAATTTGGCCTTATTCCAAATGAGTATTTTGGATGCATAAATTACACTATGGTGGTAGTTCACGACTAGTGTTTAAATATAAATAGTTGAAAATTAAATGTATAATGATCTGATATTTCTACTCGATACATCACTGGATGATTCTTGTTTTTACTTATCAGCAATGTGTTTAGAACCTTCATCTCATTTTTTTTTGATTTATTGATTGATGTATTATAGATCGGAAAAATGATTTGCAAATCTTTACTGATTGGGCCGTAGATATTAGTGACCAATACAGTTTTTGTCTAGCCCTTAATACTGATTGAATTTCGGCAATCAACCAACCGTCTAACATTGAAACATTCTATATCGAGTAACGTAAACTAGTGACAATATTACAACTTGATCAAATGAATTCGATCAGCACTAAGGACTAAACACAAAGGATATTGGTAATGATTCAGTGACTAATCAGTGTATTTCAGTTCTAAAGAAGATTGGTCGTAGCCAAAATTACTCACTGTTAACGTCTCTATGACACTCGATTATACGGATTCAAATCCCATAGTGTCCATTATTTCCATTGAAAATGAAGATATACACTTCTAAAAACTATCAACCAGCGCGAGATCTAAGCCCAGAGTCTTTTATGTGTAACTTAACAATACTACTATTGGTATTACTATTGTTTCAGCGCCGTTAGTTTTCAATTTGTCAACTTACCTCACACTATACTAGTAATATAAATTGTTACAACTTGAACAGATAAACATGTCCATACTAGGTCCTACGTTGTTTCTACCAAATAAATATTATCGTTTTGATCAAATAAGTTATTTTATTTAGCTTTTATTATTCATAAAGATACATCATTCTCCTACGCGGATCCAAATCACTACAAATCAAAATAAATTTCATACCCGCTGCACAAATGAGTGGCTATTTGAATTCATTATTTCAATGGATAACGCTTTAGTGTCTGAAGTGGACGATACTGGGTTTGAGTGAACATCAACTCTGGGACTCAGTTACATCCATCTGACGAGTCCCACATAGGATTAGACTCACGTCCTGGATTCCACTGCTAGACACAACTCATCAGTTTTCCCTTTTTTTCCTGAAAACTTGACATCAGTTTACTTTATTCTCTATATATTCATGTGTTGCATTACCGTTTTTTTTCCAACCTGACTACATTTGTGTAGAATACAGTGACTACCATGTCAAATTTGAAATCCAGTACTACAACAATACAAAGCAAGACAAATATGAATGAAATTCAGAAGATCCGTTCTCGTGGTGCATCATTATCTGCTAAAGGTTCTACAGTACGTACTTCAAACACCACCAGCAGTGTCACCGCCACAACGACTACTACTTCTGGGAGGTCATCCAGTACAACCATAAACAAGAAACCTCAAGTCATTGTGACGAAATTAGACAAGCGAATAACTAGTAAACCTGACCCATCGTTACGTACAAGACGGATAGATTGTACAACAAATCTCACTTCTAGTAGTACAAATGCTTCAAGATCTAATCTTACTGATCGTTCTAGAGGAAGATTATTTAATCAAACTAACATTAAAGGTTAGCAGTTTTAATAATAATACTTCTATTGATTACTTCTGTTTCTCCATATGTCATATCCAAAATGCTTTTTTTGTTTGTACTGTGACATTATTTTACAAAGGACAGAAAAATATCTTGAGATGATGGAGAAAATTGGTGCATAAGGAGGAGAATATTAAGAATTTACTGTTATTTCAGCTATGTCGTTTAATCGTGGAGCTTTTAATGTCGTTCAAAAATAGATTGCTTTCTCACGCATGCTACCCCTCGTGGAGCAGCATACTCTGCCCACCATGAATATCCATCGAACTCTCATCTGGATAATCTCTTCCAGTTGCTATTCATCCCTTAGATACCTGCTTCAAATTCCCTACCCCATGTGTTCTTGGGTTTTTTTCCTTTATCATTCCGAGTTAGGGCTTGTCTAGTGATGCAGTTTGATGATTTCCACAATGTGTATCCTATCCACCCCCAACGTCTTTTCTCAATTTCCTTTTCAGATGTTTGTTCTCACAGTAAATTGTTGCTCATGGTATCCGGCCAACAAATACTGAGTATCTAGGGTATACAATTGTTTATCAATACCTTTAGCATTTTGATTATGGTTGTACAAGTTCTCCAAGTTTCTGTTACTTACAGTAGAACTAATTGTCTTGACGTTCGTATTGAAGATTCTGACTTTGATATTGGTTGACAATTGTTTTGATTTCCATACGTTCTTCAACTGTAGGAATTATGCCCTTGATTTGTCCATCCTTGCCTTTGCGTTATTAGTATATATTCCAAAAAACAAACCAACCTATCCGACGTTTTCCAAATCTTGTTTCTATTGTCATGTTATTTGATTAGTTTTTATCCGTGGTTTCGCCGTCATTGTTCCCATGCTTATTTCGACTACCTTGTTTCTTAACCTCATCTCTATCGAAGATATTTGCTGGTGATTTTGTCTAGAAAGAAAACAAAAGCTTCACAATTAAATCATTAAATTCAGCGAACTCAGCCTATGTAAAAAATGTCAATAAATTCCCTAAAAAAACCCTCTAGTTGTTCTCTACCTTATTACATCTATTTCGTTTTTCCTTACTTTTTCTGTCAGACTTTTTTTTATAAGGAGCTTATATACTGTAAAATTTCTTAAGTGACCGGTAATCATTCAATGAGCTCATAAATTATCATTTAAGTGTACATACAATTTTGGAACATACTGTATATCATATATATATGATACATCATCTGTCTAGTCGAGGAGACGGAGGATGTATTTGTGTGTGTGTGTGTGTGTGTGGAATAATGGTAACGAATAGCTTGAAAAATATAAAATTCGGATCGTATATTTTTGTATGAATTTTATTCTATACAACTCTCATTATGTATTACTGTGACAATGGTGAGAAAAACGAACCGTAGTACAACATAGAATAATCAATAATAAGTCTGTTAAAATAAGTAATCCCACTTTAAATTAAAACAGATCAACAATAATGGCATTTCTAATGTACTACTAATTTGTATTCGCAAACAGAATAGCATTATTAACTTAGTAGTGTTATTTTGTTTCAATTCTATCCACTGCCTGTTCATATATGTTTACGATGAAAATACAGTTCACTGAAGTCTTTCAAATATTCATAAAATAACCTTGAGAAAGTAAGATCAGTTTGTAGCTAATCAAAATTCAAATGATATACATGACTAATTTGTTAATTTAAAACTTAAAAAAAGGATAACGATTAGAATTAAGGATTGGGATTTATGTTTAAGAGTTATGATACTCTCACATTATGTACTCACTGGTGACTAGCTTCTAGAGGGAATTCTTGAAGTTCTAGTGAGAAACCATGATCAATGGAGTTTAACCGTATCGGGTATGAGACAGTTACCCACCAAAGACAATGAAAGATGGTTGCGTTATATCGTGGATTTGTTGAATTTAGATACTAACGCTGTTTGATGCCGACTCAGGTTAAGCGTTCTCATGCAAGACTGAAGATTTCGGGTTCGATTCCTGAGTGAAATATTGTGGGTGCATATTGTTAAGGAGTCCAATACTAGGACGAAACAGCCTTCCAGTGCTTCCAGGTTTTCAATGGTGGTCTAATATTGATCAATTCATGATTTCAATGAAATTTAACAATATCCATAATCCCAAACTGAAAATTAGAAGTTATGGCTAAAACTAAGGGTTAATAGATTTAAAAAAAATACTTATTTATACAGTTGGTTCATAGGCAGCAAATATGAAAAACCTTTAAGTTACATTTAAATATTCACAAATTACGATTCATATTCCTATCGTGATTCATAACTTTAACCATATTAGAGACTAAATACTGACAAATATTACTCAACTTTCCATAGAAAAAAATAGGTTAGCTAAGTATATCCGCAACATATTCAATTTTCAACAATTATGTTGCATCCCAACACTTCTTATGATCTTTTCGTCCCTTTATTGAAAGACTATTTGCATATCAGAGTGTAATTTTGACTGAAATTATTCATAACCTACCCCTTGTGAACATATCACTGTGAATGAAGCAGTTCAACATACCTAATAAAAAAAAGAAAAATATGACAAAAGTTAGAGCTTTAAACAATTTTTTAGCGAAAATTACATCATTCATCTACAACGTACGACCAGGCACATATGCGCATCGGTCCAAGTTGCCACCTCTGATTAACACAACAAGATGAACACCGGATCCATAAAAGTAGTTAATTCAGAGGTGGTAATATATAAAAGAAAGATTGTGTATAAGGATATAGTACAGGAAGAAAGAATTAGTTCGTAGAAAGAAAGATATGAAGTGATTTTAATCTCTTAGTTTAAGGGAAGACAGGGAGTGTATACACCGACGCCATTGTGATCGATTCTGCGCCATGTCACCAAGAGTCTCCAACTATTGGTTACGAAAGTCACGCGGACCCCAACCAATTAGTCTGCATCTACCAACATGGCTCAGACTAGAAGTTAGTGACTTCAAGCACTGATGCCACGTTTTGGTTTGACCGCCCCTAACTTTCTTCCAACCATTCCCAACACTAGTCAGTATTGCGCGTGTTCAAGCATTACATTCTATTATACGAAACCAAACCGTTAAATTGATGCTAAAATATTCATAAATACTGGATACAATACATTTATTGAACAACCAATAGATGGTTTCAAAAATTGTTTGTTAGCTATTAAATTACAATTGTTTTGTAAACATCTTGACTTTTTTTAATAAAAAAAAGTATTTGTTACTTTGAACAATTAAGAATGTATAAAGTTTCATCTGTCGGCGATTATGTTCCCAAGTAATATGAATGTTGCTAGTGAATTCATGACTGTCTAATTGTTATTAGTAGTAACTAATGACGTAATACACGTCATAATGTGTTGATTGAAATTTCGTTGAGTAAATATAAGTCCTTTTTTATAATTATTTTAGTTGTTACACAGTCGAATCAATATATATGGTTAATTGTTCGAATCACATTGTAGACATCAATGAAAGGTTTCAGGTACATTCAAATGATAAGTTCTGAATAGGACGAGATTTACGATTTGAATTCTACTGTGAATCACAATCCAAATGTATTAAACTTATATAGGTTTTGCATTGAAATCATGAATTGATTTAAGTTTGATGACAACTGAAAATCTAGAAGCACGGGAGAGCTGTTTGATAATAGTATAGGATTCTTCAGTAGTGTGCATCCACAGTTCCTCTTAAGAGTATCAAACCTAGGATCTTCAGTATGGGACGCGAGCGCTCAACCTCTTGACTACTGAGCCAGTGTTAAGTAGTATGCATGTCTAAATTCGCCCATTTATCGAAATCTTTGAATGTTATTGAGGTCACCAAACTGATCTAAGTTAGTCAATCATCGAAAACCTCTGAGCACTGGATACTATCAAAATCATAATCCCGAGATACGAATATTCTCATTTATTTCATTAATATTCCGTTCTTACCATTTTTATAACTACTATTAATATAACACTTATCATCCCGTTATTCATTGTGTTGCAGAGCCCAACTGAATATGAATGGGACTGTTACTCGGAACTGATATCATGTGAAAAACGTTTTTAAACAGTTAGCACTTGATAGTTGTTTCGTTCTAATTTAGAACTTTTCCGTAGTGTACAACCTTGACACCTCCAAAGATTGAACCCACAACTTCGGTTTTCACGATGAAAACGATACTGTTGTGTTTTTAGCCCGGCTAATTATGATGTGACTTATTCATCAATCGGAGTACGACCTATACAATCTTAGCACTGCGCCAAACCAATGATGTATCGACCAGTATAAGCAGTCTAGTGTCCTTATTGGTAGTTTATCCTCCTAGCCCTGCCAGTTGTGTCTAGAACACCAATACCAGCTCCCACTATACGAATCACTTATTTCAAATATACCTGGTTTATATACAAACCAAACAGACCACATCACACCACAAAATAGAAAATAACATTCGTACATTCGTACAAAGTGGTTGTGATTGTGGGAGACTGTAATTAATAAATTGAGTATGGCTTAAGGATAGTAAATCGTATCATAATAGTTTATAGGTCAAAATGAAGCTTATAATAAGGGGAATATAGATATACACAATCTAATTACTGAATAGTTATACAATAAAAATATACGTATAATATTAGTCCACAAATAAATCCCAACAATTACCTTTTATTATTCCCGTCGGGATATAACAGATAACTTTAATCAATACCAATTTGGAACATACTGATCCATATTTCCATCCTCCATCGATTTTTTAAACACTACAATCGTCATTCATTATTCGCATGATATTTTCCTTACTGTTAAACTTGTTGAACTTCATTGGTCACAACTGTCTATCATACGTTTTGTAACTTATCTTAAAGTTAATAACTAATGGGCAATAATTATAGCAAGAATGCAAACTTTGATACAGTATGTCCCTTTCTAAACATGATGCTTTTGATTTACCGCAATTAAGTTTATTATTCCACAGAAACGTGATCATTTTAGTTTGCATAATACCTCGTGATTATTATATATTTCACCATGTTATATTTCATTTACATAAAATATTTCAGCACCTACACAATCGAACAGAACAAATGTTAAACCTCCATTCTCGGTTGGTGGACGTCGAATTTCCGCCGGTGCTGCATCACTAACAAGTCAACGTACAGCTCCTAGCCAATTAAATCGATCCAAAGTTTCAGTGGTAACACGTGGTTCAGTACACTTGTCTACTACAGGTTTAACAGATTCTCGTTCTAATCTACGTGGGGCATCGTCTGCAACTAGACACTGTAAATTTTCTCTTACCTCAGTTTTGTCTACTTTATATTTTGTTGAGAGAATAGAAAGAAAATACTGGGATTGAGGTTTATTTACTTATCCAAAATATAGTTTACAATCAGAAAATGTTAATTTTATTTTATCATTTAACAGCCTTTTAATTTAATCTAATTAGTCATTCAAACCAGTTCCAAGTAATAGCTTCCAACTTTTAATTTCGTTGAAATACTTTCAAGCTTTCAAAACGTATATTTTTATATAGTTTGATTGATCATTTAGTCTTATGCAATGTCATGTTTCCTTAGTCCTTTAATGTTGATTGAATTATATCAGTCAGGTTTCAATATGGTTGCTTGTCTAATTGACTTCACATCATGTGCACTATGTTTTGAAATTAAGTGGTTAGAGTTAGTTAGAAAAATGCGCTAGTTCATCTAGGTTTGGTGCTAGCTGATAGTTGGCTAGTAGACAGTATTCAGGAAATTAATGTTCATCGGTGCTTTCATACTCGGATAATCTAACCTCACAATCTAAGACATTACCACTGAGCTATCCGGGCTACGGCTGTTTAATCCTTTAGTGCTCATTACTGCGGAAGTGTTTGAGTTTATGGTTTTTTAATCTTTGAAATGAATAATACTACTGTAAATTGTATTGATTGTGTTAATGAGTTAACTTATTTGGCGAACAGATGGTGATGAGAAAAATACTACATAGTTAAACCCATTGTCAGATAGATTTATATACATTTTCCATAGATTTTAATACTGCATTCAGGTTTGTATTGTTTCTCGTCATTATTCATTTCTAATCAATTTGTGAAGTTTTCGATATTGACTAATATCGTCTAGAAAATCAGCGTGCACTGAGTACATTTCTACACCCTAACGACCTCATTTTTGACTGAACTTAAGACCACCAGATCTTCAGGCGACCATCATCTCTTTGAATCACCGAGTTGAAATCCAGCGATCCATGTTTCCAATCTCAGTCGGTTCCTAACAATAATTGATTTAATACACGTTGAGTTGCCAATGATCGTATTTGCTGTACTAAATGTGTCATATTATTAAATCCTTGAAAAAAAATCTTATTTTTATCATCTTGATTTTTCTTAGCGACTGTACAACATCGTGGTGTTAATCGTAGCTTTATGACACCGACAACAAGTTCCGATGCAAAACAAGTAAAAACAAGAGAATCTATTCGTTCAATGCCAAATGAAAGTCCAATCTCTTCATCGCCTAAATGTGATTCTCGTCGAACCTATGAATCACCTATAGGGAATAGTGCTAAAAAACCCATAACAAGTACATTTTTACGTCGTGGTACTACTCAAGGACGTGTTGGAATCTGTCGTAAATCATCTACTGATAATATTAATCAATACTCGAGCACTAATAAATCTTCATCATGTGTTTCTGATCGAATAGCATCTGTAGTTTCTACCATTGAAGCTTACGATGATCCAAAAGCTTATTTATTTTATCGAATGTTTCAAGGTGTAGAAGAAATTGAAACAACAACGACTGATGGTATATTTCAAGCATTTTCACCATATTCATCAGTGGACTTTCAAAAGCACTTTTCATCTGAATTCAATGATACAAATGAACAATTAGATTATCATTTACATAGTTATGGTATCGATGAAAAATTTCAAAATTTTCAAACTAATTCGAATATACAAAATAAAGTTAGTGATTGTATTTATTCTCTAACTTTCTGCAAATGATTTTTCATGGAAAAATCTGTATATATTTTACAAGAATAGCTTCTCTCATTAATTAATATCGACTAGGGAAAGCCCTTAGAAGCTATAAAATATTTAATTCTAATGTTTGATTAGAATTTTTTAAAAATTTCTTTTTGTAGATCGAAGGGCTCTTCGGCAGTATTTCATGTTAATAACCCTGTAGGGAAACAAGCTCTTAGGCTTCAGACTTTTCAAAGATGTACACAATAATATTCGGACATCAAACTCAAATGCATTAGTTTGAATTGCCAATTTCAAGTACTTTTTTTAATACATAGAGTTCTTTAGTCAATATGGTCATTTATTTACTGTCGTACTCTCAATTTCCATGACTGAATGGGTTGCATCTAATGATCCGTTATTTTATAAATTACATTTCAATAGTTGAGATCATGAGTCAATTGAAGCTAGATCCTCATGGAAAACCTGGAAGCACTGAACGGCCGTTTCGTCATATTGTGGGACTCCTCATCAGTGCGCATCCACGATCCCGCACCCCGCGAGATTCGGGCCCAGGACCTACTGGCCTCGCGCGCGAGCACTTAACCACTAGACCATTTAGCCGGCTGGCATCCAGCGGTGTTTATATCTAACTCCAACTAATCCACGAAATTGAGCGACACATCCACCATTGTCACCAGTGAGTTACTATCTCATAACAGACCCAGTTGAACTCCAGTGGTCACTGCTTCTCACTAGAACTCCAGGATATAAATCTTGAAGCCAGTCACTAGTGAGCATATGTTGATTATTATCAGAACTAATGATAGTTTTCAGCCTGCAAAATGCAGTTTCACACTCTTTTGTTCAGTTGCAAACAGTATTCTTATTCAGATATAGTGGAGCCCGTGTGTCATACATCGACGGAACAAAAGCTGAGTAGTAGCTAATTAATCCCAAGAATGATCGTAATTCGAAGATATTAGTGGGAGTCGGCATCACGTTTATAGCTCCGATGTTTTCAGGATCTGGTCTGCGACCTGCGGCATCAAAGATGAATCTTAAGTATTTTACTGAATTCAAGAAAAACTGACATTTTTCTGGGCGTAATCGGAATCCGTTATCGCTGACGCGTCTTAGTACAAGTGTTGTGCGTTCTCGAAGCTGTTCTAATGATGTGGCAACAATTAAGATGTCATCGAGATAAGTTGCGACCCCCGGGATACCCGATAGAATGGTATCCATTAGTTGCTGAAAAATAGATGGAGCTGTCTTAACACCAAATGGTAGGCGATTGTACTGAAACAAGCCACGATGAGTATTGATGGTCAGTAGCTCTCTGGATTCTTCATCCACTTCTATTTGTAAATAGGCATCAGCTAGATCCAGCTTTGCAAATAACTTCCCACTATTTGGCATTGTGAACAAATCTTCAGGGACTGGCAGTGGGTAATGATGCTGTTCGAGAGCTGCGTTAATACCTGTGGAAAAATCTGCGCATATTCGGATTGTGCCATTAACCTTCTTAATAACCACAATGGGTACTGCCCTGGCATAATAAGAAACATCTGTATCAACTCCCTGTAGTTGAAGGCGGTTAAGTTCTTCGTCAACTTTCGATAACGCTGCGTACGGCACTGGTCTCTTTGGACGGAAGGCAGGTTTAGCCCCAGGTTTTAACCGAAGTGTTGCTTTCATAACAGTGCATTGACCCAATACAGGCTGAAAAATGATTGAAAACTCCGTCATTAGTTGTTTCGAATATGCTTCAGGTTCATGAGGTTGTTTCATCAGATGGCATATGGTGCTTAACGGAACGTCAGTTAAATGTAGCCGGTCAAACCAGTCTAACCCAAGTAGATTAAGACCAGCTGGTGTGATTTAACATACCCCGGTAAACGTCGAATCGTGAAAAGAACCTTTACAACCTAGTTGTTCCAACAAACGCAGATAATTACCACATGCGGTTCGCAGTTTTTGTGTCGTTGGCACCGTGAGTGGTCTTCCCATTCTGATCCAGTATTTTCGTGAGAGAATTGTTACGTCAGATGCAGTGTCTATTTGCAACTTAAACGGATGGCATTAATATTAAGGGTAATAAATTTCCTCTCATCTGGGGTTGAGTTCTGACAGGTTGCTACTAGACTCAACGAATTTGTATCAGATCTAGGGATAGGCTTTCTGGTACGTCTGGAGCTGCTTAGCTTTTTTTGACAAAAACCATCTTTATGACCCACAGCTTTACACTTCCTGCACCGATGTTGTTCATATGGACAGCTTCGAACAAAATGCCATGCACCGCAGTGCCAGAATGGGGCAGGTGGATTTGTTTTTGTCTGTTGACCCGAACTAGATGTTGCTGGGGCAGATTTATGTGAGTTGGGTGGTTGTTAGACTACATGAACTTCGATATGATCTGAACCACCACGCTCGACCATCGTAGTGTTACGCTGCAGATTGATTAGACGTTGATATTCGTTTTCAATATCATAAAGAGTTAGTTTTGGGTCTTGGTCCAATCGACTTAGCAAGCGTGTTCTAATGTCACTAAACTTCTGCGATTGAAGGCTACAGATGAGGCCTTTAAATTGGTCTTCAGTGAACGACTTCAACCAGAAGCGTTCGCATTCTCGGTTGACGATAACACATGTGTGGGAAAATCAGCATCTTCGTTCATAGTGAACTTCAAACATCGATAGCGCGCATTGAATAGTGAGGAGTTGTCTCCGAATTGTTGACTCAATGATTGGACAGTGTCCGATTTCTTTCCTAGTCATCTTGTTAATTTCGTCTTGTCATGCCAATACATTAATAGGAACTTAGGCCAACGTACATTTGTGCAAAACCCTATTTTTATTTCCGATTAGCTGATTTCCTTAATCAATAAACTACTGCAGCACGATGGTTTTGTTAGTATTATAAATGAGTCATGAATGATCGGTATCCATGTGCTCAACACACTGTCTATAAGTGAAAATTCGCTTCACTTTAATAACTAAAGCTTATTTCAAATTTTCACTTATCTAAATTCCTTACAGTATTCTGCGTTACTTTCGATTGATGATGAAGAAACACCCTATCAAAATCTTCCTTCTCATCGTTCCGATTTAACAACCATATCAACTTCAAACAGTAGGACATTAGCAACAAAAACTCCAATGTATTTATCGAAACGTTATACAAATGAAATCCCGACAGATCAAGCTCAAAATATCGTTAAATCTTCAACTGTATCCAATAGTAAAATTAACTGTACAATACACGAGAATGATGATGCAACAATGGATCCAACATTAAAATCAATGAACCTATCCATGTTTGTTAGTACTTCTGTCATTAGTTTAACACCAAGTCAAACAGGAACTTATGTAATTGATGGCGGCGATGGTATTGATGATGATAATGAAGATAATATTAATAATACAAATCAAGATTTCTTACAGCATTCCGATGAGCAAAATATTCATTTATCTAAAGATAATGACTTATTAACACCTCGTGGAAGTCCTATAGGAGATATTACGGCAGCGGGTGAAGTACTGAATCGTCAGTCTACCAATCATTTGTCGAATAATCAACAAACAAAACAATTGCAACAGTTTGCAAAAGATTTTGAGGTAAAAATCTGTTAAGTTTCTCTTTTAATATTAGACAAATAATTATATTCTATTAATATTTTAACGTAGTATTCAATTCTAGCATTCAAGCTCTAACGTCTATCCCGTAATTTAAATACGTTAGCATACATACACTTTAATTCTTCTACTGTAAAACATGACAATAGGCAGGAATAATCTCATAATTGATACGGGAAGTTACAAAGTATTCACATAATACGTATACAAAGCGTTCAATCGCTCATTTGCATCTTTTGGTGTATTCTGCTATCTGAATTATCTCCTTGTCTGGTCTCCAAGTGTTCTGCCTACCCTGTGCTTTCGATGGACTGAAACACTTCATTCCGCCTAACAATAGTTGCAACTTCGACGCGACGTTTCGCTACATACTACTTGCAAACAGTCTTGTGGGTAGTGTCCACTACAATACAGCAAAAATATACTGCCCTACTTTCTCAGTGTTAGTGATGTTTTCTAGTAGGTACAAACCACTTTTATCGTTAGTTTATGTCGTAGCCCATTTTTTTCGGTATTAAAAATCAGTTTTTTAAAGCAAGAAAAACAATTCTAGTCAATCGCTTGTAAACTCAATCGAATTTACTTTACAACATGTGGTCTGATTGTTCATTATGTGTTCGCTTAAATTAAAATGAATGCAGCTGGCCCAGTTAATAATGAACAATAACGAGCGATAAATACATAGGAACAATACAAGATTTCCTTGTAACAAATCAGATTGAGCAGTGAAAGTAAAAACTTAATTGTCGTCAAAGATTATTAGTTTTAACGTCTTATAACGCATACAGTTCCTGTATGACTTCTTCCTCTTCATTCAGTTTTGTCCTATAATGAAAAGTACACATTTGCGGTAAAATAGTTAAATCTAATGATTGAAATATCATCACATTACTTCGTATCAAATGAACCACTCTCTAAAATCAAAATATGACATTTTTATGTTAACTCCGATCGACTACATTCATACATCACAGCACATACATTAAAAGAACAAATAGAAAGGTACATGTACTATGCATTAATGGATATCGTCTCAAATAAATTAATATTCCTAAATGCCTAAATTGTTAACATTGTAATCACTTAACCGTTAAGTACTAGCAATTAGGGTATTTTTACCCCTCGTTATACTACCATATTTTGATTTCACGCAACGGCCTAGAAGCTGTGCTCACGACTCAGATTGACTCGTTCGTCCCAATACAATAATTTTACTGATATTTTTATACCGCTCAAGGTAATTAACAAATAAAATTGTATAACGTTGTTGTTTCTTAATGGGGAGCGGTTAGTGTCAAAGAATTCAAATCTATTCGACACATACCGAAAGGAAGCAGTTGTCAATTAATTATTGTCGTAGTATTATGAAATTTTGTTTTATACTCTCCCGTGCACTGAAAATGTATTTTGGTTTAATTTTTATTCATAAAAAAGTCATTATTAATTATGTACTCCAATTTGTTTTCATCATTTATCTAGAACTCCATGTTATCTGTTGAACATGTACAAACACATACAGCGCATCATCAATATTCTGGGAATAAACGATTGAATGATTCCATTTCTACAGTAGATTTAACTAAAACTTCATCAATTGAGAAACCTTTATGCATAACTAGTTCAACTGTATGTCTTACTGAAACTCATGACAATACACTACAGGATTCTAAAAATAAAAAAGATGTTTTATCACGTGTAATCGATAACTTAGAAGATTCTGATCATGTTGGGACCTCGTTAACTAGTTTAACACCAAGTCACACAGGTACTTATATTCTTGATATAGATGATACATTAATTGCACAAGGTGTCCTACCTGTCATTATTCGTAGCCATGAAACTTTAGCTTCTTCAGTAACAACAATCGATTCTGGTCTAAATGTTGAATCAGCGATGAATACACATGGCGTCATTGTAGAAAATATTACACCCAGAGGTAGTCCCATTTCAAAAGAGAAATTATGGCATATTGCAGAAAATGATAATGATGATGAAGGTAGAGACAAAGACCTGGTGCTGGTCACATCTAATCAAAGCGGTAGACCGTACAATATTCCATTTCATAATTGTGATAACGAATTAACTGGACAATTTACAATCGAGTCGTTAAGAGCTGAATTTGAAGATACGTATAAATTACTCCCATCACCTAATCAATTTGTTGATGGTACTGATAGTAGTGGTAACAGTATGAATATTGTGGAATCATCAATACCGGTAAGATTTTTTTCGCCTATTGTCAAATTAAACATGTATATATGTAATTATTTTATTATTATGCTTCTTTATACTTATCCTTTGCTGTTTATCAAGTGGTGTAGAACTATAATGGATGAAAGCTAAGGGTGGCCAGACCAAAACATGGCAAAAATTCATGAACTTACTGACAAGTGAACTGAGCCATGTTGGTAGGTGTAGACTACCTGGTTGGGGGACCGCGAGATGATAGCAACCGATAATTAGAGACCTTGAATAACATGGCTCAAAATCGTTTACAATGGCGTAGGTGCATCCACTCTTTGTGTTCTCCTGAATTCTAATCTTCTGAAATCGTCATGTTCCTTTTTTCTCTTTCCAAAATTTATTTCACTGGATTATACTCATTGAATAACATCAGACTGTAATCTTTCCGATTACTACTTATACTTTTACTATCTCTACCACTATGGGATTTAAATTGACAATTGTATCTCTGTGCTAATGTAATGTAGTTTGGCAACTCGGACTGATATACGTACGTACGAAGTTCTACATTGTTGCTGACTGACATCCTCAATTCTGAGTTGTTTGTTAGTATGTTCATTTGAAGTGGAATATGTCAAATTTCATTGAATTCAAGCATTGTCAAAAATTTCTCGTATGCCGAACTTTAATTCTTACTTTGAAATATATGTTAAGTAGTTTCCTAAGCTTTAATTAAAACAAGATTACTAATTAATAATAACTTATTACGGTTGATACAAGCGTTACTAAAGGTAAGATGAAAAACATACCCGTTGAAAAATTTAGTGGCTATGTGGATTAATTGTTCCATTGGATAATGTGTTAGCGTTTAGAGCGAAAGGTACAAAGTTTAAGTCTTAATGTGAACAACAGTAGTGAGTTGCAGTGATATCCAGCTGACAAGTCCTAAATTGGGACGAAGTGGGCTTCTATGGGAATAATCTTGTTTAAAAAGATTTAAAAGCAAGAAGAATCTGAACAGAAGATAGATGGTACAGTGACCTAGTGGTTAGATTTCTTGACTGTCTACCATTAAGTTTTACGTTGAAACCCTATTTCACTTTTTTCGTTTAAATCAGTCTAATAGTATCAATAAACTTTCACATAAGCATTGTGACTTAAAGTTTAACTGTAATAATTTGAAAAGTAGTTATGTCATTAATAAACCATGAATAATAACTAGAATATGAGTACATTTTTCATTATAGACTGAAATAAGTGAATAACATTACGAAACTAGAAGGCACTGGATAGCTAATTTTTTCCAATTTGCAACCCCTAAACAAATACCCAGGATCATACATGAACTTGAACTCATATATGTCCGTTTTTACTTTTCTACCTTGTCCCAAACGTGGGTTTAATAATAGTCTAACTCTATATGAATTTCAGCTCATGATAAATGTTTATAAATTTCACTGTAAACCTAACTTTATAAATAAGAGTTCTCGAAAAACATGTGAAAATATTCTGACTACAAGCTAAGTGAATACCTTGAAATGATATACTCATCTGTAGTTTTTATTGTGCTCAAATTTATACAACTGTATACACTCTTTGTAATTTAATCATTCCTAACAATTTGTTCAATTAGTCATCCCAAGACAAGTAAAGCTGTAAATCAAGCATATAGTTCTGTATACAACAGTTGATGAATTGTTTTGTCAATTTATTTATAGTCTAATTTGGGCTTTCGACTACTAGGTCGTCAATATTCATGACTGTTCATTTTCTATTCTCATACGAGAATCTGTAGTCACAAGTTTATTATACTTTCAGGTAGTAGGGAGCAATGGAATCCAGGATTTACATTTTGTTGTAATTTGTGACTCTAGCTGCATGTATTTGCATCTCAGTATTGGTGCTCGCACTGAAATTCGAAACTAGTATCTATCACTTGAAACTAATGCGTTATCCATTAGACTACTGATTCGCGTTAATCACAGACATTTTTAATCGCTCTAACGCGTTTGCATTTAGAGTAATATGTATTGGGTTCGAGTCTTACTGTGAACATCGAAACTTTACTGCAGGTACATCCGAAATGAAACAAAATACACTTCCTAGGTCCCGGTACTAGTTACTAGCCAATATTATATTTGAAGAAACCTCTGTACAAGTTCCCTAGCTATCTTTCTAACTTTCCTCTGATCTACCTTATCTTGCTGGCTTTAAAATATTAAGTTATGTTTGCCTGATTTTTATTTTCTCTGTATTTTTTCTTCTATTTTCCACTTCTTGTACGTATTTACTACTGGTTGGTTGATTTATTGTTGAGTATAAATATTTTTGGTTTCAATCAGTCAGTCAGTCAGTCAGTCAGTAAATAAACTTTGTTAGCCAATGGTTTCTATGATTGTCGTCATTTTCCTTCTTCACTTATGTGCGTGTGTATGCATGACAAGTACTCCTTATTCATCTTCGAAATTCCAATTTTCCTCTTCACAACCATATGTTTTGGATTATTTTTTATCATCATCATCATCACTATCATTGTTGTCATCGTCATTTTTACCTTCTGTGATTACATAATCACTCTACGGGTTCATTATTATGAAATCTGTTGTCTTGTGATTTTAATATTGAACTTAAACAAAACAAAAGAATTTCCATGTGTCATTGTTTCTTCACAATATTATCAGGCATAATTTAGTTAATTAAAATGGATTTTACAGGAATTCTAAAATTTATATCTAATCGTCGAAATGCGGTGAGTTGATGCTGCCTGACATCTACATTTTTCCATTTTGTGATTATAGTAATAACAATGATAATATCGTGCATGCTATTATTACATTTAATTTGTCTATGCGTCTTGTATTATTTTGCTTAGATTTAAATCACATAGAGTAGTGACCATACCTGTTACTTGCTCGGTAGAATTCGATCACTACTACGGATTAAACATACATGATATTGGTCGCTGTGTAGTGGTTAATCAGTTAACCAATTCTAAATTGAATTAATTGTTGATCACATTCGAATAAATCTAATAAATTAATCTACAATATTTTGATGACATTTAAATGTTATTTCGTATTAGTAAATGAATGCTACTAAACAATAATTTCAAACCAAAACGCGACGTTGGTTCGTAGAGTCATTGACTGTTGAACTGAGCTGTTTTGTTAGGTCAGCTACTATCAGAATGAGGTCCTCACTTATATCTTAACCGATGGTTGAAGACGTTGTATGATACTCCTTATGTGGTGAACGAGAACACAAGTGGACACAATCGAATTTATTTGAACACAAAATTGCAGAACATCTTAGTAAAATCTGAAAACCATACAGTCAATCGATTGTCTCAAACTTGACTGTTCCTTTTGCAAATATCAGTCAGTTGTCTCAGACTTCATTGTTCTTTCGTTTTCACACCAATCATTCTTTGATCTTTTTAACCTTCTGCCTCCAGGAATTTCACTTTCAACTGATGATACATACTACTTATATCTGTCGATACTAGTAGCACATACCACACTCAGAAATGGTTGCGATATCGCAGATCCATTTACTCATTTTAATTATATCTACTTCGTTGATAATTTTATCTCGTGCTGATATTAATATGATAACATGAACTAATGCACTTATGAGGCAGGTTATTTGTTGCATATGACTAATTGACTGAGTAATTTCAAGATAGCATCAAAATTGTTATAGCTTGTGGCCTGGGTGCCCTGTTTTGATGTATAACGTAATAATACCGCCAATTAGAGAGCAGTGAATTATTGATCAGACCAATGACACATAAAACCCATACGAGCAGTCTAGAGTACTTATCGATCCATAACACCAAGCTCAGCATCTGCTATATGAATCATTTATTTCAAACATATTGGGTTTATATACCAACCAGACAGACTACATCGTACCATAAAATAGGAAACAACATTTATACAAGATTTAGATAAATGTGACTGTGAATAAGGAAGATAGTAATTGATAGACTGGGTATAACTCAATAATGTTAAATCGTATAATAATAGTTTTATAGGTCAAAATAAAGCTCATAAGGGGGACATGAATATGAATAGTTTAGCTAATTAACAATTATACGATAAAAAATATAGGTATAGTATTGATCTATAAATGGATCCCAAAAATTACCATTCATTATTCCTATCAGGATATAACAAAAATACTACAAGATTGATTAAATTGAATCATTCTTTTTTTTTATATATTTCGTTATTGTCCAATTTTTCTTTCTTTCTATTAGCAATCTGAATCTCATAGATCACAAATGAAAACAATTAATCCACATTTTGTACAAGGGAAAGAATCTAATCGAATAATTCCCTTAGTGAATCCTTCAAATGTTACATTACAACATAGAAATTATTTTGTTAAACCTAAATCAATCAATTCTACTGAATTATTAGTATCAAATAATCTTCAAAATGATTTAATTATGAAACAAAATCTTATTCACAATACATATACACATAATAATGAAAAATATTCTAGTGTTCATAGTAAGTATTTTATTTATCTATTTATTTAAGTGTTTATTTTGTCATAATTTTATAACCTATTCAATCAGTTATTTACAAAGGTAGAATCATGCAGACATATACATATATGCATCGGTTCAAGTTGTTATACTTCATAAAACCTCATACAATTAGATTTATTAATGTTTATATGAGTTTAATAATCATTTCGAAATATGTTAGTTGTGTTATTCTTATGAAGTGGTCTTAAATAAGTTAATTAATCCTTTCTATGCTAAATATCAGTATTTTATTTTTTAATGCATGACTATAATCAATTCCGTTCAGTGTAGCAGCAGCCTCAGCAGCAGTAGGTTTCAATATACACAAAGGGAAATGCAAGATTGTTCGATACGACACAGCATGCACCCATCCAATCACAATTGACAGAGAAGATTCGGTAGATATAAAAACCTTTACATATTTGGGCAGCATCATTGATGAACATGGTGGATCTGATGCAGATGTGAAGACGCGGATTTGCAAAGCAAGAGCAATATATTCACAACTGAAGAACATCTGGAGCTCAAAACAATTGTCAACCAACACCAAGGTCAGGATTTTCAATACAAATGTCAAGACAGTTCTACTGTATGGGGTGAAAACGTAGAGAACTACGAAAGCCATCATCCAGAAGATGCAAGTGTTTATTAACAGTTATCTACGCAGAATACCCCAGATCCGTTGACCAAACACTATCAACAAAAACGTACTATGGAAGAGAACAAACCAGATCCCAACGGAGGAAGAAGCGCTGGAAGTAGATAGCACACACATTGAGGAAATAACCCAACTGAGTCACAAGACAAGCCCTCATATGGAATCCTCTAGGCCAAAGGAGAAGAGTAAGACCAAAGAACACATTACGCCGGGAAACGGAGATAGACATTAGAAAAATGAACAAGAATTGGATGGAATTAGAAAAGAAGGCCCAGGACAGAGTGGGTTGGAGAATGCTGGTCGGCGGCCTATGCTCCATTAGGAGTAACAGACATAAGTAAGGTAATAATTCCTTTAGGTTGTATAACACTTACGAAATCCATATGAAGCTTCAGTTTACAATGGTTACTTAAGAGAATAAATAACTAATTCTTAATAAATAATAATAATAATATATCATTCTTACAAGAGTCTAGCCGCAGCTCGAATGACTCAGTGATACTGAACAATATGAGTTCAAACTCCATGTGTATTGTCATCGGTCACGTGATTGTGAATGTGTTGGTGACAAGTGCAAACTAAGTAGTTAACTAGATCAAGCAAAGTGTCTTACTGATCACTGTTAACCGTGAAATATCATATTCCTCTTTCAATTTCATTTCCATTGGCTTAAGATATCGGCAACAGTTATTTCGTGGTGTATGCTACTTATGTTGATAGTTATAAGTAGTATGTAACACTGTTATCAGAAGTGCAGTGCCTGTCAAAAGAAGGTTGAGAAGATTGAACTTAAGGAAACATAAAGAAATTGAAAATTGGAAGAATCATGAAGGGATGTAATGGACAATTGATGAGAGATGTGCAAATGAAATATTTAATGCTTGTATTCATAATTTATGAAGACACTATAATTTTGCACTAAACGACAAACTGATTTTCCCAACCTGCATCCTCGTTCACTACAGTTATATTTATTTTATTCATTAACTATTTATCTCTACATTATAATCATAATCTACTAGGATTAAAACTTGTAAATGTTATTGTACAGAAATAAGATTTGGTGGGGAAATCCAATTTATTGGTTTATGAAAAATTACACAGTGTGTTTGTAGAATATGAAAATAATACAATAAATACATCATTTACATATCTTTCTTCAATTGTTCTTTGCATACTTCATCATCCTTCCGATCATGTTATTATTCTTATCGATCTTCATTTTCTTCCGCCTTCTCTTTATTTTAATCTCCTGGTAAACATTCCATTCTCAATTCTTGCTACATAACAATTACATCTGTCCGTATAAGTCACACATACTACATTATAACCTCTGTACTGCTTTATGTTGTAGAGTAAATTATGGTTGTTTATTTTAATGTAAAAGTTTTTTTCATGATTATCATTCAAAACTGTAGTTTTCTTTATGATCAGTTTTCTCTTTAAAAGTAAATAACAAAATAGTTCTACTTTAAGCATGAATTTATTGTTTTAACATTTACTTCCGTTTTTACAGTTATAATGGTAAATTATACTGAATTAAATATAAACATTATTTATTTCTATATAAGACAACGATCAGTTTATCATTATTATACTGTTAAACGGTTAGAAATTCTAGATGTAGTTAGGTTTTCTGATAGTTGACAATGTTATATCTTATAATCTTTAGGGGAATAATGCTCCCTGTTGGATTCGAATCCTTATTATAAAATCAATGCATATAATATATAGAACGTTGTAATTTATTCATGTTTCACATAAAACCATATTTGTAAATCAAATCATTGTATTTTCGAACGATTTAACTCATGTGAAATGAAATGAATTCATTTCATTTGTTGTTCTTATTTGATAAAAGTAACACTTCAAATTAAGCAGTTTGTATTGTAATTGTAATTTACATTTTATATTCATTGACTTTTCTAAAATCACATATCATTAAGATGATAATTAAAAACTATGTGTATTTTAAATTCACTTGGTATTGTTTGTTTGAATCTTCCCATATTGTGCGTATTACCTCGATATTGTCTTACATTACAAGCATTATATGCAAAGATGGATAATGGTTAGCAGTGAAGGCCAGAATGCGCGTTTCTTCCTATTCGGGACTCGTCGGCTGAATGTACCTGCATCTCAAAGTTGATGTTCGCTCTGGGACTCGAACTCAGTACCGTATACACACATGCCAATAAGAGACTGATCAATTGCAGTCCTAAACATCAGTGGGAAGATTCAAGTAAAACAACACCAATTGAATTTAAACTTCAGTCCATTGCACAAGCAAGTGGTCATCAGAACTCAGTAGCTAGGTGAATAACACGATGGAATTTGAAGCGAATGTTAATAAGTTCGAGTCCCAGGGTGAATATAAAGTTTAAGGTGCAGGTACATCCAGTTGACGAATCCCAAATAGAACAAAACGCACCTCCTGAATTCCACTGCTAGCCACTATCCATCTTTGCATATTATGTGCATTTTACTTTTGCTCATTTTCTGCAATAGTTGAGAGTTTCAACGTAACAGTATTTATTATTATAAACTAGCTTGTAAAAATACTCACTTTTTCGGTAAATAATCAAGTTCGAACTCAACATGTCTAGATAGTACTTTTTTAAAGCTCACAACAGGGAAATAAAATTGCGTGAATCAAAGCTCAGTACCTTGAGTTTCGTATGATTACTGAGTTACAGTATAGTATATGAAGTTATTTAGTTAAATATTGTTATTTCTTGAAACCGCTGGTGAACATCACATTACCAATCAAGATCCTAATTCTAATTCTGTCTGTTATGTACTCTATAGCTTAGTGCCGCCGATTTCTTCTGTTACACGTTCAACCAGAACTTTTGACATTGAGCTGGTAACTAGGTTTTTATAGATCCACTATTCACTAACTCCTCTCTATACCTTGCCTTTGGTCCAGAAGTAGCAATCATATATATGACTTAGGTGAAAGTGGCTGTAAGTAGGGGGAGAGTGTAAATAACAAGCGAGTAACAAAATACAAATGGTCGGTTCGTATGACAGTATTTCATTAGTTAACCGAAAGCTTATGATAAAATGAATACATATACATAGTAATCTTGTTACTTAGTAGTTATACAACAAAATTATAATGAATAATCATCAGTAAAACCAGTTCCAACTTTTACAATATTCATTCCGTTGTAATAAAGATCAAATGAATAAACATTTTATATTTAAGTGAATATCAATCTGAAATATTCCCATATTGTAAATTTAAAACAACATTACATAAACGAACAATATTGGATGAGGATCTAATCGAAAACAATATTGTTCACTTATATATGTTGTTTTGAATATTGATCTGTTTATTGACAGATCAAATAGTCAGTACAGCGATAATTCTTATTTCCTTTCAAGTAGTAAACAATAACTGGTAGGTTTCTTTGTTTAATCACATCTCTACTTTGATCAATTTGTCAATAATTAATATGATTATTTCATTATAATTAGTTTCCCAATACATAAAAATGTTTATATGAGATAATACAATATGTATATGTCTCTGAGATTGTCTGAATCAACCGATCGTAATCGATGTAACTCGATCTGTAAATATTTTAGTATAGCACTGAATAGGATCTTATATATATATTTTTTAATTGACTGGATCATTTATGAAAAATTACCCATTCATATGTAGATAAATCACTTCTAATTTAGGACTATTTATGAACCCAAACTATTTCTATTTTGAAGAGGATATGAATAAAGGTTTGACCAGAATAATCTGAATTCATTTTGTTTCGTTAAATTTTATTTGATCAGCTACTTATCATCTGTATTATTTAAAATGAAAATGAGTTGAGATTACTTAGGTAATTGAATATGGTTGGAAGTTATTGGGATCACATATCAGCATATTAATATCAAAGATGTAAATAAATTTTAGAGACTAATTTAAAATTGCAAATGGATTCATATATCATATGTAAACGAAACATTCTACAATATTGAGAGTAAGCAAAGTATTAGAAACAAGTGGTTAAGTAATAAGCAAAGGCTGATGATAAAGGAGGATAAAATAAATTTAAGCTCAGTTATTTCATACAATCAGTTTCTGTGATCGATTTAGATCAGTCAATCACAACGTAGAACCTGATACGTATGTACATCGATTTAAGTTGTCGCACCCTATTAGAACAGAGAGATGAAATTGTCAGACCAAATCTCAGAATAGCAGAGGTAGGAACAGTATTAGTGGTGATAGAAAAGATTAGGAATTGAAGATACAATTCAAGAAAATATAAATTAGTAAGATAAAAAGACAAAAAAAATTATGAAGTGTT